TGTGATTAATATGACTGGCTCTGCAAGAAAGCCTTGATATCAATGACTGAACGGAGAGTGACAATACCACAATCATTAATCTTAAATCACAATATCATCAAAAGTATGTTCATTAATACAAATTAAAGCAATATTCATATACTGTCTGTAAACTGTATTAGGAAAAACTGTACACCACAATGAATTCAGGATTGTATGCCAAAGAGAGTAACAAATTTATGATACAAGGAAAAGTTACACAATATTCTTACAAACACTATACAATCAGAGAAAATGCACCCAATATTGTTTAATAAGTTATTATTATGTGGAACATACAACTGCCTTGAATTATAAACCAAACAAATTTCAACCTCAACTCCTCACATTTGATTGGCAATTTGCATTTAACTTAATTGATTCCTGCTTCATGAGAAAATCCATATTAATGTAAAGATTTGCTAAAACTTAGTTTGAATAATAAATTTCATGATATTTAAGTTAAAACATAGAAATTCATGTCATCATAAAATAAGCAATTTGACTAAATGGACCTTCTTCTTTAGACCACCTTACCCCTGCATCATCAAATCTTGTTGGTAGAGGTCTGTCTCTTAGGCCACGCAGTCTTCGTTCTGGTGTGCCCTGATGGAAACAAAAGGAGGAATGTAATTTTATATTAAATGACTGAAAAAATTCCACCAAAAGAAATGTTATCATTAAAAACAAATCAGTTTAAAATGGCTGAGAACTGCCTTTGACCCTTTAACTCCCATGAGTATCCAAGACAGAATTTCTCCTAACAACATCAATACAATATCAACCAGATAAGTGATGAGAATAAAAAAAAAACATCATTCAATTTGGGGATACTTAGTTGATCCAATACTTGATTCTCTGAACTAACATTACAAGAATTGTATGGTTGAAAGTAGGGAGAATTACAAATGTGATCTAGAAGTAAAAGGGTTAAAAAGATAAAAGTTCTTGCTCTTATGCAACTAAGCTTTTCTGCCTTATTACAGTGTTTCAGATCTTTTAATAAATCTAGAGTAATCAGACAAGTTTACCTCTCCATCTCCAGATCTGGGAACTGCCTAAAACAAGAGGTATAACCAGACTTCAGAGAATTACAATTTTGGGTGTGTCTATCAATATGTATATTCATTCCGTACATATAAGAAAAACCAGTTGGAGTGGATAGCTTTGAAGGTGCACTCTCTACTCAAACTCCAAATATCAATTGCTATTCACCCACAGGTAACTCAAGTGGGATTTACGCCAAAAATGCTAAAATCACTGCAGGAACAAATGAGTCAAAAACATCTTTTTGAGCTATATTTAATTTATCTTTAGTTACTGTTTCAATGTATACTAAGCAACTATTCACCTCAGTGCCAGTGGTTAGTGGTGGATGTCCACTAGTAGCCCCCTTCCCTTTTCTTGGGTGAAAAGTTCTTATTTTATTAAGTTATAAATAAACACTAAACATGACATGTGCATTAATTCAAATTGATATAAATTTGGAGACCCCTCATACATGTTTACGGATACTTGTGCTAGAGAGGACTTTCATTGCTCATGCATCCTTTAAATGAAGCTTGGCTGAAGTTGGAAATTGAACCACACTATAAGCTGTAGACAATGACTCTCCTTTGCCATGACCATACAAATGGTATTGCATGTGGTGTTTTAGAAATACCTGCTTTCCTCGCACTTTACTTCTAAGCCTTTCTCTTATGGAGGCATTCAGACTCGAGGACTTGCCAGAATCCATCATTTGCTGAAGTCTAGGGCCTGGCTCACTGAGCCTGGAGGGACCTTTAAACATAATCAAAACAGACTAATCAAGGAGTGTTGGTTGAGGAAAGGGAAAAAAGAAATGAATATACAATTTGCATACATTATCCAAATTTTCAAAAGAAAAAGCCTCTTCTCTAGGTTACACGATTATCAACTAGAGGTTGATTACGTCAGGACACAGTAACTTGTCCATGTTTCCAACACTTCATGAAACCTCAAAAAAAAATCATCCCTTTGAGCAGTCAGTTGTATGTGTGTGCATTTTTGCTTTCCTTTTTGACTGACTGTTCATTTTCTATGCGTAGGTTGCAGACCAAATAAACTTAAAAATCAAATTGTCCTGTTATACCCAATTCACTGTCAAAGCACCATGGTTTCTTGAGAAATTTACCCCCTTTTATTCATTCATCTATGAAGAGTTTCTTTGTAATCTATTACAGTTTGTTTTTATAATCAGCACCTGCACAGACATGCCAACATTACCTCTTTGGATAATATACAACAACTACAAGGTAGTTAAAAAGTTTGGCTTTTCCACAGGAAGCCCCAGTAATTAGGCTAATTATGAACCCACCATACATGTAATTGTAAAAATTAGAAAAAGAGGCAACCTGCAGATGGTGATTCTGGATCGGTCCTTTCTTCTCCCCATGCTCCACCAAAGGTATTGGAAAGCTGAAATAGTGATAGAAATACAGCTTTAAGTGAAGGACAAGAGTTATAATAATGCAAAATTAGATACATGACATCTATAAAACTGTATATAAATGGATCTTCACAACTGGACAGCATTTACTATAACAATATGGCACATGTTACAGTAGCTACCAAACACTGTTTCCTGCTAAAATAAATATTCTGGTGTGAAGATAATGACTGATGTCCATGACTCCTTGCAAAGTTTCCGCTCCTCAAGGACAAAAATGATTAAATTGTTCACTAATGTTTTAGCTTGGTTTTACTCCAATCTCACCTAAAAGTTCACTTTTATGCTAATTAAAGTCAAATTCAGTTAATTATAAACTAAGGCCATAATTAGCAACCTCCAACCATCTTGAGAACCATCTTGACCTGTATTTGCTTTCCTCGAAATACACTGCACTCTCACAGCCCTACAAATATTAACAAACATTTTACCTCCTCTTTTCTCTGCTGCCTTCTTGTCTGAAGGTCCTGTAACATATCCCCATCATCTTCAAGATCCTGTAAGGACTGTAAGCAAAACCTTCCTAGTAAATGCCTTTTTTAAAATTGCAAACATAGAGAAGGATAAAAGGAATGGAAGAAACAGAAGGAAGGTGAAGAGCAGCCAAGGACAACTCTGATATTTAACTTCATCATCCATGATTTACAAGACTGTCAGTAAAAGAAGACTAGCAGTATGCAATTATAAAAATGTTGCAATCCTGATTAGAAGTGACCGAGTCATGTGAGAAAAAATTACACTTAATCAATATAATTATTGGTAGAGGTTATGTCCTTTCTTTTTTTTCATTTTACTGCTGATAAAATTTAGTAAATGAATATACATGTATAAATTAAATAATTCATGTTAAATTTTTTTGAAAGGCTCACCTCAACCATAGTATCTCCTGCTGGACTAAGAGTCTCTACCTCTGTCCCAGTTACTGGTCTTACAGGCTATAATTAACAAATGATCCAAAAAGGAATATCATAATGTGTCTAGGTATGTAAGTGGACAAAATAAAGTGAAACCTGTGTTCTGATTGGCTGTCCAAGCCAGCAAGATGGGCTTATCTGACATGTTAAGGATGATACCCACTTTGACATCATATCAGCCACAAAAATAGAGGAGAAAAAACTTAGTTGATATCCTGCCATCCTAACAACACATTTGATCAATAATCTATACCCTGAACACAGTGCAATAGGCTCATGCTATAGTAGTATTGATTTATATGGAAAAGAAAGCTAGATATTAGAAAAAATAGAAAAGTGAATGGATAAGAAAATCATTACTTTAATACTTTCAGCAAATTTCTTCTATAGCAAATATAAAATTTTCAAAAATTTTCTATTGACATGGGCAAGGGGTAACAACTACAGAAACTAACCGTGTCTGTGCTGCGAGCTGGAGTCACTGTGCGCTGTAGAGTATCCTCAGCATCAGATCTGTACGAGCCTGTATCTGACATAATTGTGGCCTGTTTGTGTATTTGAAAGATAATGGAGATGTAACTACATTTTACTAAATGTTACTAGAAAGAAAACTTTTTCCAGAATTATCTGGGAATTAATGCATACTTCTTCCTAAACAGCTGAATACATCACCACTGATCATGAAATATACTGTACATCAATTACCTCCATTGCAGCCCTTCTCTTTTTCATCTTTTCCCTCAAAGCTCTGCAGTAACAAGCAAGAAAGATAACCATTTAAAGGATGCAAAATTACTCTGATCACTTCCTGGTTTTCTAAACTGCATCGTAGCTGGGCACAAAATGAAAAAAAAAATCAAACCTAGAATATTATTATCAGTTTGAGTACTAATTAGCTGATCAACATATAGTTTTTGTAATTTAACGGAGCTGTGAGACTATATTCATCATGGCAGTTGTACATTTGTTGCAGACACCTGTCATGATGCTTTAATGACGACACATCTGTTTCTAAATCAACTCATAGCTCTACTCATCATAAATTTACATTTATGCACCCAACTAACCTGTTGGTGCTGTCCATGCTTGTTCTTTTAGCGTCTATTAATTTATGGCCCTGATCAATTTTTGTTGACTACGCTTATGCATCAACCAGAGTCGATCACCCTAATCGTCGTCACACTTTCACAGACATTTCTGATCCTTAAAGTTTTTCAAAGCCATCCAAACATTTTTTCCTCCATGCTGTTGCCATGTTATCATTGTGGAATACTGCTGACTCAAGATTTGGAGGAAGTATAAAACTTTAACATCATGAGCATCTGTGGATACCAAAATCGTTTATGTACCCATGACACCACGCATGTGCTTTCATAAAGTAGCTCAATACTTCAAATAAATTATTTGCACCTATTTGACTATGATGACCTCGAAGAAAACTCACAAAACCCGAACAAAAATCCTCAAAACAAATAAACAAAAGGTAGACATGTTTTCCTTGACAGAAATTCGCGCGGATAGTAATTAGTTCCCAGTTTTTTCGCTTATCAAAGTTACCCAGAATGCACGTTAACTTCTGCCGATGATTGTTGCTAAAACAGTACGGTGTGAGATTTAACACCGTATTCCTCTTTAATTTTTCACCATTAGCGTACCATTTTCCTCGAGAATGAAAAGCTGTTTGCGCGGATCTATTTTAAAGACTGGTGGTATGTCTTGATAGAAAAAAAATTCAATTCATTTTTGGCGAAATCTGGCGTTGTCACCGGCTCTGCAATAGTGTTACACTTGAAATCTTCAGGATTCATTTGCTATAGCATCGTGGAATTATGGTAGGTCTCTTCTCTTTGCTTGTATATTAAATAATGGTATACTTCCTAAAGCTATTTTCAATGTCGTGATGATGATTTTCACATTGAAAATACGTCAGATTTGACGAAGAAAATTACTGTGTATATTTACTGACTGCGTGATCGCGAGCGGGACTGCCAAAGGTGATTTTCATAGCATCTGTTTATGGTCAGTGACTAGCAACCGCTCTCTAAACAGCGGTAAATTATCGTGAACTTAATCTTTGGCGCATGATAATGTGATTTATTGAGTTCTTTTTCCGATGTGGTTATGTTACTCAAAGGTGCAGTAAACTCATCTACATCACGACAAGTAAAGGAAAAAGAGGAATTGAAATGAAACATCACCCTTACACGTGTGCGATATCATACTTATATATCATACGCACATGCTCTTGCAATATCTAGTCTCATTTTGAAAGACGTATAGCAAGTTTTTGTTGAGTCATACATTTATGAGGCCGAATTCTTCCTCTTCTTTAATTTGTAACTGCACAACCGTTTCACAACGGGTGGTGAATGGGACCTTTTTTTGTAGAATATTAACTTTCTTATTAACCGCACGCAAGGGCCGTACCGAGGAATATTGGCTTTAAGGTCGTGGTAGTACCGACAGAGCACAGTGAGGTCTGTACAAAAACGACTGAAGGCCAACATTCCCCTACAGGTACAGCTCTCATAAGGGAAGCAAATAAGTGGGCTCACGACTGTTTCTGTAGAAACGGTCTGTATGGCAAAATCCTTATCTAGTAAGAACCTATCAGAACATTTGGATTTACCTCAGGACTACCTTGCCATATGATAAGGTGTTTTAATTTTGACCTTGAAGTGAAAGATCCATTACAAAACATTGTTACAGCTGTACATACCTTCTCAGATTCATACAACAACATGTAAATATTCATGTATAGTAGTAGTGAGAGAGTCCTTTTTTGGTATCAACTGTCAATTATAGTTGTCTTTCTCTTTCACACAATTTTAAATACTGCTGTTATGTTTCAGTTTCAACCAAAGAAAACAGAAGAAGTTGAAAGTGACTCTGACTGGGACAGCCTTCCTGGAGATGTCCAAGAACCAACCTCTAGCCCTGATTCAACTCCCAGACACCAACCAGCCCCTCCACCTCATTCTCCAAAGGGGCATGTTTCTCAGAAGAGACCTCAGATTAAGTCACAGGCAGCAACCCCAGAGAAAAACTCAATAACTAATTCACCAGTAACACAGCCCATATCCAAACCTGGGACACCTGCATCAAACAGACCAAGTCAGCTATATGGTAAACCTGGAATTACCACCTTTGTCGACAGGAGCTTGAATGCTGACAGTGGCTTGGAGAATCGTCAGAACAAGGAGCTGAGCCCAGATATGAATGAGAATAGATTGCAGCAAGACAGACTGGGAAGACAAAATGAAGGAATCCATTTAGAAATGAATGAAGTGGATCATTATGGACATAATCCACCATTTACAGATTTTCAAGGTACTGTAGCACTTAAAAAGCTACAGGCTATAGCCTGCAGAATAGGCCACATTTTTGTGCATCTTAGAGGCAAAGAGAGGCAAGCCAAAAAAATTATGCTTTTCTGCTTTTGTGTGTCTCATGGGTTGCACTTGCCTCATGCTTGCCTCTTCTTGCTTTTAAAATGCCAAAATGACTTCTGTTCTGCTGGTCATTGATAACTATTTTACTGTCAGGAGTAGAATTTTTATCTTTTTCATCCTCTGAGTATTCTTTTGTAATGGTGGTTTATTCTTCAAATTCTTACGTCAGCCAATCTCCCTAAACAAAATGCTGGAAAACTTACACAAAGTGAGAAACCTAAGGTGGGAAAAGTCAAGTCATCTTATTTGACAACCAAGCAAGCAAATCATGGGAACCATTCTTGGGATTCTGACAGTGAACAAGAGCAAGAACTTGTGTCACATAGCAGAGAACCATTGACACCCCGCCAAAAAAATTCCAAAGCAGATAACCATGAAGAAAAAATTGTACACCCAGAACATGAAACAGCCATAGTAGAGAATCATGACAAGGTTCTGAGTTTAGAAACATGCTGTGTGCCTCTGGAAAGTGAAAGAAAAATAAGTGGGTAAGTGATTGATGTCTGTGTAATAATCGGCAATTGCTTTCCTGTTCATTCATGAATACAATTTGTATATATGCAAAATTACTTTTAAGTTGTTTGAATATTACAGATGGATGTTGTCTATCTTATTGTATGTGTGACAGTTATAGAGGACGATTCGTCAGATGATTGTGATATTGACTGTGGCTTGGGTCATCAGACACTGTATCAGACAGGAAGTGTTGTTATTCTTAGAACTACCCTTACACTGAAAGTCACATAACCCACACAAGAGAGATGTGCTCTGCAGAGTTTTCTGTTTTGTCATTGGTGATCTTTCCTTATGCAGACTCATGCATCTCTAGAAGTGGCTTTACAGCAGTAAGATGGATTGGATTTGAACATACAGCTTTCAATATGCATGTGGTAGACTTTGATATCAGTAGAGGGAAATTATTGTGCTTTGAGGTAATATAAAATTGATTAACAATTGATTACCTGTAGGTGTTCATATTATTTTGATCACGGTCACAACCATCATCTTGATGTTAGACCAGAATGGAAAGAAGCTTACATGAAAGGAGTAGCAGACAGGTAAAATCCCTTTTTTCAGTGGCATTTAATTTGCTATACACGTAGATCACCCACCCCTATAATTGTTACCTCAAAACCTCTTGAAACTTGACATCCTCTTTGATTCAACCTAGTAGGCTTACATATTATGAAAGAGTGATGTATTTAAGTCAGTGTTCAACTGTTTCTTTAATCAGCAATTATAGTGTACGCAGTACACAATGGCCACTGCATGGGACGTGTGTTTAGTATGACTAAGACAACCAGTATGAGAGACCAAAAAAAACATGATGTGAATGTAATATGTCAGTGATAATTAAGAATACATTTATCATAATTATAATTAATATTTTGATCATCCAGATTTACTGATACATTCATGATCAATTTTTCTTTTGTAGATCTGAAAAATGGCTTCACTATTTCTGGCAGGAGTTTTTCAGTGCAGTTCGCATCATCACTGACTTTGCATTTATCTTTGTATTGGAACTATTACGGTTTGTCTTCCACTATGTTTTGCTCCGCATACTTGGGGGAATCATCATTGTGGTTGGAGATCATTTCTTAAAACCATACTTGGCTCTGGTTTTTAACCGCATTATTCAACCTACCTTGATTTTCACACGGAATGTTTTAACTGGCATTAGAAACCTTTTACAACCATTAATGGACATCAGTAGTGTCTTTATCGCACAGCTGGGTTCCTTACTGAGGGCATTTAGGCTGTTTGAACTTAACTGGAAACCAGTGTATGAAAGAGGACAAAAGCATGATGTCCATGTATTGTAGTTACTGCTGATGATGAGAGCAAACTGAAAGGATCAGGGAGCTAGGCTCAGCTGTTAAGGATGTTGAGCAGATTTGTTGTGTTCGAGCACATTGTGCCTAAAAATTTATTTTACTTTGTTTATTAAATTTTAAACCATTTTACTCCCTAGATCTCAAAAGTAACTTAGTTGTTATTATCAACCATAATTTTCTTGTCTTGTTAATTCTGAGAATTTGGTCTTAAAGACCTTCAGTCTTAAATCAAACAACATTGATATTTTTCTTTATTCTCCTCACCTGTCTGCTTGGTGATGTGTTGATTCTGTATGGAGAAAGTACTTCTTGGTCATTCCTATTAGTGATAGGGTTACAGTGCACAAGGAAGAAACCTTTAATTTATCATAAATTTAGGGCAATATATGGTAAGAAAAGGTCACTTCCATTACTGGTTATATTTTTTACTCCCATTTTGTCAGTTAGACATGCGGTTAACTCATAAATCCTCCAGATGGATCCCTATAATGTTAGTACATTATCAAGAAAACAATTTAAGAGAACAGTCAAAGAAAGGTTGTTATTCCAATAGGCCATCAAACAATCTTGATTATTTTATATTTTAATACATTATCTTGCAAACAGTTAAGGACGCAGTCCAAGAGAGGTTGTTGTTCTGTTAAACCATCAAACAGTCTTGATTATTTTAAGACAAATGAATGGCAAGCTAGAAGAGAGAAATAACCATCAGATCTTTGCACCTGATTCCCTCTTTCTGACAAGAACCCTGTTTGACAAGCTCTGCACTTTAGATAGTGTTGGTGTGGGTGACTGAAACATTCCATTGGAGATCAGATTTTGCTATCACAATGCTTGGTTTGGAGTTTGTTTTTTTCTATTTATAATCTATATAATACTGTAAATTTCCAAGAAAAATCAAGACTTATGATACCTGTGGTATTGAATGATTTTATTAACTGTGAACAATAATTGCTTTTAAAATGTGTCCTTAGTATTCCCATTTTGATTTTGATTATTTCTATATTTTGACAGTTAATGCCACTGTATAACTGGGACCTGGGTATCTATGTGCATCTACTGATTTCCCAGATAGTTTTGAACTTTATTTCTACTTTAAAGATATTTAGTCTATACTTCTATTTATCTCAAAATTTATCCATTGGAAATGATAATATATTAAAAACTTGTTTTACTGAAATATAGTTCATAATCATTGTTCATTGTTGTAGGTTATTATCAAGAGTGTTTTTCTTTGTTTCCGTTTGAGGAGGGTCCTCTATGTGACCAGCTAATAATTGTTTTTGTATACTTGCTCACTGCAGGTGCTTTCGAATTCTTTTGTAAATTCGTTTTGTTGTTGAAATCATTCTGTACAATTCCTTTCATTGCTCGTATCGAGAAAAGCATTTAACAGGTTTATCTAATTTAATCAGCAAAAACCTCCCATCTTTCTTTTGAAAACTGTTGGCTAAACTTAATAGCATCTTTTGTGCTCTTCACAATTGTATTTTCTTTTATCTCGTTAAACACTTCTTGCGTGACATTGGCAAAACGCGAGGAGAGCAGCCATTTCGGAATTTAGTGCCCTTGCTTTACTTTAAATTATGTTCAGCTCATGCCGAGTTTCATGCATGCACTTCTTTGAAAAAGGGCAGATCACTTCCTTGCACTGGCAGAGTGACTAGTCGAACAAGTATTGAATTCTGTCATAAATTACTTGCTTTAGCCTTCACATTCAGTAAATAATCGATCTGCTCTCCTTTGTGGTTTTGTAGATAAATAAGGAAAGTTGGCATTATCAACTGAGTTAGTAAAGTAATTTTGACACCGTAAAGAGTTTCAAAGCTGACGTTTCGCTCTGACGAAGGGCTGACGCTCGAAACGTCAGCTTTGAAACTCTTTACAAAGGCCAATTTACGTCATCAACTCAGTTGATAATACCAAATTACCCTGTTATACTCTCTCACCGACGCAGTGTCACAGTTTCTTCAGAAACTTTCCCCCTTTATTCATTTGAAGGTAAATGAACGTTTGATCGCGTCTCACGAAGTAGAGTCAGACTCAATTTTATGGATCGCGTTTTTTTGACTTATGCATGGTGGCACATTGCCGGGTATAAGGGAGCCAACCGATACATACAAGCGAAGAAAGCCTTTCATATTTTAGTTGTAACTCACCGGTTCATGTCAGATACCTAGGAAGGTATACAAATTCATTTGAAAGAACATCAGCATTTTTATGATTGGCGTATGGAAGCGAAATTTTTCCAGAGCTACGCAAAAATTTTCAAATAATCCCCAAATCATCTCACAAGAGTCACTATCGAACATTACGCCGGGACTGTGAGCAGTGAAAATAATGTTCACTCTTCGTCTGCTAATTGCAACACAAGTACACGCTATTCGATTTCTGATATTGGCTTGTCTTCGTTCGTGTCTTTGTTTTCACGAGCCAGGCACGATTCCTATATCTGGGTATCGTAAGTTTGTGCTGTTGATGATAATACTTTGTCGGCTGTTAACAACGCGCCGTACATTTTCTTCACTCTGCCTGTGAACACAAACCCAAAAGCAATAAAAACTCCTTGAAGTGAGTTGAATACAACAAATGGATAATCAAAGTAACTAGAAACAAGAATCGATAGATATCCAAAAATCCACGTGAATCCCATCAAGACTGAGAGCTTTAAAAACAACACAACCTGTTTTCGATTGTTTGCGGCGTTTCCGATTACCCGTGTTTGTTTTTTTATTTTGTTAATGGAAATAACCGTCAACGAAAACAGGATCGCGTTTAACAAAATGGAGACAGCCACCGGGATGACAAAAACAAAAATGTTAGACTTGGTATTGTTGATCCAACAGTGACTCGTGCCACCGTATCCTATAGCAACTAACCCTGATTGGTCGAGGTAGTAACAAATAGCAACAAACAAAAGGGCAGGAATCCAACCAATGGCAAGTAAGCAACCCTTCCGATTGGCTGTTCTCTGACGGGTGCGACAGGTTCTGGAAAAAGTATAGTAGGTATCAAATGCGATAATTGACATCCAAGTAAAATATGCTAAGTAAAAGTAATGGGTTAGAACAGCAATCAATGTACAAATCTGTCGCTGTTGATTCACACCCCCAATCATGAAAAAGGAATGGGCGAAAAGCAAAGAGATGGACAAATTCATTAAATTAATACCCGGCAAAGTACGCAGTTCCCTGAAAATGGAATAAGTAAAGAGCACAAGCAAAAGGCAGGCAATAGAAAGACTGATTCCAACGTAAGTTAAAATCAGAAGTGCCGTGTAAGTGTTGCTATCAGCAGACGAAGGGATGATGCAGATTGTAGCCTCTCCGTCTATCATCACGAAATCATGAATGCCGTATACTTCTTTTGAGTTATTTCTGTACAAAGATCCGTTTCCTAAAATGACGTATTCCTCTTCCTTGAGCTGAATTAAGACACCAAAACACTTCAATATGACGCTTTTTCGACAGACATGAACGTCACCCACAGGAATAACAGATCCATTTCTAGACTCAGTTTGGTTTGACCAGTAGTCTGTCTTGAGAATTTTGTCTTTCGTGCTGTTAACATAAATAGCGGAGTCAGCGTTCGTGATTACCAAGTATTCACTTGGGTTGTAAATGTCAATTGTGACACATAACAAAGGTACCCACTCCTCCTTGACAACAGAGAAAGGCATATTCCCTACCGTTAAATTGCAAGTAATTGAGCCGTTAGTTTGACTCAGGTAACTTTGCGGGAAGGTAACCACTATATTTGCAGATATAGATGTGCCGTTTAGAACGTTTATGGAAAGTATTTCTGCAGAGCAATTTCTTAACGCAGACTCTAGAGTCTGTGTTATTACTTTTCTTGATTGATTCCCATCTGTTTTACCAAACTGAGATTCAAATTCGATAGAAACTTTATATCTGTTAAAGAAAGGTAAAGTTAGTTTCTTGTGGATGTCCCTTTTCATGCTGATTACCCTTCGGCACTCCCTAGAAACAGGATCCAGTACGTGACCAATCTCGCAGGGGTTTGGTTTTCGAGAATCTGGGCGAAACAAGGTGATCAAGGGAGGTGCTACTTGGTGACCCTTAATAGACGAAAGTAACATTGGAGTACTTTGTTTAATGGGTCCACACACAATCTCGCCAAGTGCAACACCGGCGCATTGGGCGCAGTGTCTATTCAAATACAGCTTCCTTGTTCCCCTTTTCGCGCCGACAACTCCCAGTGATTTTGATAAACACTTACGCTGAACTTCTGGCGTCACTGAGGTATTCAAGCACGACGCGTTTGTCTCTAAGTCAAGACAGTAACGCCTGGGAGCGCCTAAAGGTGGCTTCCATTTTACAATTGAAGATTTAAAGACCACAGATGTCGAATTAGTAGTGTTCTCCCGTTTGGTATAGCTAACGGGTTGAATCGACCGTGTTTCATGATCGTAGAATCGGCTTGTGTTGATTTCAACGCCGTGACAAACTGCACAAAAGCGATTCTTGTATGTGTTATTTTTCGCATCGATCAACGGTGTAGTGTGACTTTGAGAGCCTTCGGACATCTCTGGCATATCTCTTGTGCACTTTGTAGCGATTTCATCATGAGTCCAGTTTGCAGGACAAGCAGAGATCATCCTCACACCTTTCGCAAAGGGCACCGTAGACCCACCTCTGTCATGACACTTCCAGAATTCATGGTTTAGAGATTTTGATGAGTTGGAATGCTTGCCTAGAAGGCAAAACTGCTCGTAATCTGCGCAACAATCGAGGAATACTGTGCAGTATTCATCACAGAAGCACTTGATTTCTTCAGTGGTTAGTCCTGGGTCTCTCCCTTTCCTGCATTTGCCAACGCAAGAAGTTTCACGCCGACAACTTAAAGGATCCTCATCCACTGACCTGTTACTTCCTATAGTGATATCCCTTTTAGTCCTAGGTTTGTCTTTGTGAGAAAACTGCGTAGACTTCTCTTGTGGCTCAAGATCTACACATACAAGATTATCAATAATCATTGAATGAATGCAAAGACAGAACAAACTTTGCGACCCAAACTTTGAAAATGTGTGTGCGCTCTACAAAGATAAAATTATCAGTGATAATTGAGTGAATTCAAGAGACAGCAAAAACGCAAACTGCTTTTCTTTGCGACCCAAAATTTGAAAATGAGTATGCGCTGCGGTCTTGACGGGCAAAGTTTACGTGTTATAGGCTTAGTCCTAATCAAGACCTTCCAGCAAAATTAAAAGTGGAAAACCTTCCCTGTTTCTAAAAAAACTATCAGTATAATAAGCCCATAGCTCATTTAGAAATTTAGCGCTGTTTTTTCATAACAATCAGAAAAAGTGCGCATTGAGACACCTGTTCTGTCCAACGCGAACAATTTAACTCCTTCAACATGTCTAAATGCTTCCTTATACCGTTTCCCCCGTTAAAGAATACCGAGCTTTTCATTCAAGCATGGTTTGCTGAAAAAAATAGGAAATCTATTATACATACCGTGGAGAAACCTACCATCCTTCGTGTATCTCATCAAGTTACTAAACTGAGCTTCATTTAGCCCTGGATTATCACTGCTACTATTCCTTTCGGGGCTGGATGAAACTAGATGCACTATTGTTACAAATACGTTAACTAACAAAAATGTTAGCTTTAATTTCTGTTGAACTCGGGAAGACATTAGTTTCACGGGTGAATCTACTCAGCAATGTCGATTGAGGCTGATCGTGCACCACTTTGAGCAACGACCTATGTAAACTGTTCATGCTCGAGTTAACAGTGAGAAATGATTAATGTCTGCTCAGCGTGAGGATTCATTTTAAAATTGAAAACACAATACAAACTTTATTACTTCTAGTTTCATATTGTTCATGTATCCTTTGTTTTGATCTCGACTTGTAATCAGCGTTGAGCAAATGAAGATCGAATATATGACATACAAACTCGTTTCGAAGCAAAATTGTTTCAAATATGAATTAGATGGCTTATGGTATTCCAAGTAAAACATTCACCGTTGGGTATTAACTACAAATACGAGCTGGGAATTATTCAAGATTTTCATTTGTGTGTGAAAAAGAAACATAAGAAAGCAGCTGTTTAAATGAAAATTATTCAGTGTTTAAGATAATTTGGAGTCAGCAAAATCATAGTTCTAATTTTACTGAAAATTGCGAAATTGTTGTAAGTTGTTTCTCATTGTCATATTGCAAAAACAAATACCTTTTCATCAGACTTGTAATTAATCTTACTCAGCTTAATTTCTTCGCCGATGGGAATAAACCAGTCTGATACATGCAACATGCACAGAAAGCGCATTAAATGTTGTTGTCTCATTCAGCGTCAAACAATGCAGTGAAGTACTTCCCCAAAGACGCCACAATTATTTAAGTCAACACATTAAATTTATCTTTTCTTCATGCAATATCCGATCATATACGGTGATTCAACTATTACCAAGAGTTCGATCAACTGGTTTTAACTTCAAAATTCACCTGCCTCGTTACTAAAATTTATCATGTAGTGTAAGTTGGTATTTTACAAATCCCCCTTTTTTCCCATCTGTTTGTACAATTAATCAGGAGGTTCAGAGCCTTGCATGTTTCCTTCTTGGAACGCGCTTCACTTTTTCCGAAAAGGCCTGCGGTTTGGAAACATGAACTTTCCCTCCATGTTACTTTTCCTTCTCAAGTTTTGAAATAAGTAAAAAAAAGATTGAAATTTTTACCAGAAGAATATAATCACTTGTTTTTACTTACTTGAGCCAGACGACCTCGAAGTAAACAAATCGTTAATAATAACAATAGCACCTCGACTAGAACCTTGTGTTTCTTACGAATTTCTTCTTCTCTCCAGAAGGAAATTACTCTTCGAAGATAAGGCAAAAATTATGGCCTCTACTAAATTTCACGTAATATTTCGTTTTCCCTTGCAAGTCGTGAGAAATAATCAGCACGCTAGAGGAACAGCTTGAAACGGCTATCAATACACAAATCTTAATTATCTGAAGCGATCCCAGAAAAAAAAATTTATCCCAAAAGACTAAGAGTCAAGCAACATCTGGCTAAATGTTTCACTACAGGGTGAAAACCTTTGAAAAACTGATGCAATCTGGGCATAGTAGCCACATATTACCTCATTTTACCTATTACAACCTTTCCTTAGGGGAAATACACTAGTAAGTTTACATTGTGTTCGATAAAACTCATTCATAACGAGGAAACAACTGGAAATGGTTGCATTTCATAACTTCATTTTGACTCACTCCATGGGGTTACAACTCATAATAACAACCAACAATAAGCAAACAAAATTCTTTACTACAAATATCAATCATTTACATTTCAAGTGATGTGTAGAAATTTTCCACTTCTGCTTCAGTTAGTGTGTTTTTCCCACATTTAGTACTAAAATAAGTCAGCATTTGTCTTCTCTTTGCATGTCAATGAAAAAAAATTCATGCAGGAATGAGAAAAAATAAACTGATCTTAAAGGGCATTTTTATCAATAAGCAATGAACTTGTCCTTAAAAGCGCTACAAATTCCGAGGAGATAAGTCAGAAAAAAATCCATATTCTCATATTCATGATTCGAATTTGCATTTCAACTTTAAAAACGGAAAAGTTATTCTGATCCTTTTGCTAAGAAATTAGGAATCTCGTTTACAGCTGTTGCTACGCTGTTGAATACACTTGCCGATTCACTAGCGACATTGAGGACTACAGATCTCTTGACCCTGTCTTATCAACTTTACAAAAGGCTGACAGAGATTCGCTTCGTAAAATATGATTTCTTCGGTCAACACAGCACTTTTTTCACATACTCGTTCCCAATTCTCTTTATACCGAAAACGGCCAAGATGGGCGGCACGGAAACGCAAGCTGTGTGAGGAGAAAATGAAAGAGACAAAGACCCCTTCCCATCACTCATTCCTCCCCTATTTTGATCTACTGCACCAGGCGTGGACGACTGGAGACGAGTCAGTTTTCAACTGTCACTGAGTACAATGATACTGAATAAATGCATAAATGCAATACTTACTATTAACTGCAGTCAAGCCTTTGATAACACAATACATTTTGTTATGAAAAAAAAGAGAAAGAAAAAGAAAGAGGAGAGAAGGGTTTTAAGATTGCTGCATCTGGAACTGTTAAAACTGAACTAATTTCATGCCGTTCTTCTGGTACTTAAGGACTCAACTGTACTCAACGTATTACTTACATATAACAGCTGCGACGAAGACCTTTGCTAGGTAGTGTCATGCACTTTTGGAAAAGGTTTTATTCGAATATCAAATAAGTTAATGATTAAGTTTATGATTGTTATGCAAACACAAGTTTCCTATCTTGGAGGAAACGCATCACTATCTCCATAAGGGTGGGGGGGGGACTATTTATTATTCCTGATTATTTCCTTAAAAGTTCTCAACGTTGTCTCAATGGCATTATGAGCTACACTCCCTTATTACAAAGAGACCAAAATTACGTAAATGTTATGGCAAACCTCCTAAACTTGGAGTTCACACGCACACCGAAACTTGAGAGGTGAATTATCTCTGCCAAACCTGCCATACTTCCTATTAAAACGGTTAATGTTCTCCACACAATTAATACACTTTACAGGGGTAAATTTGACTTGACTCTTAACCCAGCCTAGGATTTAACAGCAAATGGTCCGATCGCCATTAATCGATTATTTGTGATTTAGTTGAGGGGAGAGGCCCCCTTGTTGGTCGTGCAAAATATTTTGGACCTGTCTATCGCCCGTGTTAGCTTTGTTATCACTATTACGCGCATTGCATTTGACAATGAATGCATGCCACAAACAATTTGCATTTCATTCCCGAATCACACTCGTCATTTAAATACATCATATATCAGGTGCTATTCCTTTCTTTTAGAGGGTTGCGTTGGCGTTTCCATGACTACCATCCCTAAGGGTCCATGCATTTGTTCTATGGTTCACTGTTCGGTTGATGATGCAAGCCCAGTCTTCTTCTCACATGAGTATCATCCGACTGAGAAAATAAAAACAGTTTAGAAAAAAAATCAGTCAAGGTAAACCTTACAATGATTATATAAGGCGTATTTTTCAGTGCTTCAAAACCATAGCTTAACTTAAGAAAGAACGACAAGAAATCAAGTCAAATGAAAGCATAAAACCACTCAGAGCCAGGAAACCGCTTCCGTTTGTACACTGACGCACTGCAGTATCTACTCGCACATAAAAAGGACTATATCGGCTTCAAGATGATAACTTACGAGTTGTTACGTGAAACTGATAGATCTACCGTACACGACATTGACGTCTTTAACCCTTTCACTCCCAAGATCTCATTAGTAGTTCTCCTTACTGTCTACCATATAGTTCTTGTGATGTAAGTTTGGAGAATTGGTTATTGGATCAACTAGTAATCTCTTAGTTAATATGTTTTTATTCTCATCACTTTTCTACTTGATATTGTATTGATATTTTAAGGAGAAATTCTGTCTTGGTCACTCATGGGAGTTAAAGGTTTAAGCAAAACTATGAAACTTACATCATATCCAGCCTCTTCGCGCCGAACAACTTGGAATTGAGCCGTCTTAAGGGCCAGTAAATCTTCGTGTTCTGACAGAGAACCTGTTCTTGGTCTGACACGAACAAGATTCTCTTCTTCTTCATCGTACTCGTCGTCTTCCTCCGAGGCCGAGTACATGTGGTGACCGGGTGGAGAACTGGAACCTAGCAGTTCATCCGAGGATGAGAATGGTAACCACTCGTGAGTGTACGGAGGTTCAATCCGGGATATCTGCTCCGCCAAGTTAGTGAAGGTACTGTGCTCTGACGCCTTCGAAAACAATTCAAAGAGCATGTTCAAAACTAGTTTTATCGTGTCAAGTATGCTTCAAAGAGAAAAAACGGTGCCTAGTCTTCTTCGTCGTCTGGAGAAGACTAGCAGTATGCAGTCGAAACGTCGCGATCTACATCACACGTGACTACATCGTGAGACAAACGAAAAAACTTAGCTTTTGTTGTTATTCACCACGATGAATAACCACAACCTTTTCTACGAAAATATATCTTAATGATCAAATTTAGCCTCATTGAATATACAAGTTAATAGGGTTAGAACGATGCATTGCCAACATTTGAACTCTTTATCAATGTAGGAAAAATTTGTTTCTTGACATTTTTGCTACGGTTACGTATCAATAGTATCACGCCCTGCCGAGCGAGATAATTTTTTCCAGTTTGATTTCTTACCTTCCCCACAGGTTGCCCAGTAGCATATGCGTGGGTCATGTGACTCCTAGATGGATGCTCTCTGAAGATGTCGGGTAATTTGTTTCCTCTGACCCAACCTTTGAAAACAGTCTTACCGTGATGGTATCCCACATCCTGCAGAGAAAATTCAATGAAACAGCAGCAATCAGGGAGATGAGAGCTTAATTGGCAAAAAATAACAAGGTAATGAAACGTTTTTGATGTATCAAATTCAACTCACCACTATCTCATCGAAGCGGCCGAACTCCAAAGTCTTAAATCTGTCAAACATTAATCAAATCAATTTATGAATTCAGTCTTCAATCGAGAAAGTAAGCAAGCAAGCAAGCACACAATTAATCATTCAACCAATCGAAAAATTAGTCACCGATCAATTGATACACCAATCAGTCCGTTCATCAGTTGCAATCAATAAATCAGTCAGTCAAATAGTCAGTGAGTCAGCCAGTCAGTCAATCAGTCAGTCGCCAAGTCTTTCAGATTCAGTCAGTGAGGCAGCCGGTCGTTTGGTGAGTCAGGAAATCAGTTGATCAGTCAATTGGTCAGCTTCAGTCAGCCTGTCCACCAGTCAGTTTTGACTCATTCGATCAATCAAACAGCTCAGTCGCACATTATCGATCACCGACAGAGAAACCTCGATGCACTTTCATGTACTGCACGGACCCTAAAACCATATCTGACTATTCTTTCCAAGTGTTTTGAATTGTGTGAAGGATTCTGCATAGACATACCTGTCGATTGGCGGTCTTATGTATTCACAGTAACTGCTCTCTTTTACTTCCGCTAATTGCCTAACACAAGATACATAGGCTAAACGGGACTGGATTTCGGCCATGTCTGGAATCTTTCGAAGTAAAAAAAATTAAGAGCATATTGCATTGAGTATCAAATAACAAAAATCGCTTCTCGTATAATCTCACCAACCTTGACAGTTTCAGCAAAAGGATTCCATTTATTCCACAGTAGCCACCAGCCCGATAATTGATCGCCATAGTTCGTGAGATCATCGGGATCTTCCGATCCTACGTCGATCGCTATGATCGTCTGTGCTCCCATTGTCTTCATTACATCCGCTACAAATTGAAATAACACGTGAGTCGGCTGTAAATTTGTCTATTTGTTTATTTTGCCATTTTGTAATTATAACGTGGCGAGGAAACTCGTAGAGAAACCGAGAGGTTTATGCGAGCTACAGGCTCCTCAAAAAACATAACAGGAAAAGTGGTTTAATTAAAATGGTAACACTTGCTCACCGGGTAAATTATTGACGTATCCACCGTCCAGTAACAGATGTCCGTCTTTGGGATCACAAAGTGGTGGTAGATAACCCGACAGAGACATACTAGCACGAACGTAACGCCATAAACAGCCTGTAAAGGGAAGAGGCTGTTACGTTAAATTCATTCCCTTCGAATATAATTTATAAGAGGATTTTTGAAGTAAGTAGTTCAATTTTGTTAACCAAATGACTCCTCATCTCAGAGGAACTTAAATGTTGAAATAAAAAAGGGAAGACCCACTTGGTTGTAAAGGATCGGTGGCACAAAATTGGCAACGGTTAAGAGCATTTACTACATTCACATTTCCGACGATTTTGAATTCCTCTGCACTGGGAATTGGCCTATATTTTGAAAGCACAAATTTCATTGTGTCACATAAAAAACAATAGGGAAAAAGAAAGAAAGAAAAAATAATAGGGTAGTCTTAAACGTGCTTCATGCGGAGTTAATCTGGTTTGGTAGGCTAATTGCGTTTTCATAGGTCGGTAAAGATTTTTCAGAGGGAGTGAGTATTTGTTGTGGTGTGAGCTACATCATAGAATACATCATTAAAGGGTTGAATGATCCAACCAATTGGGATCTGGATCTGTCAAGAAGCTGAAAAAAAAAAAAAAAAAAAAAAAAAAAAAAAAAAAAAAAAGCGAAGCGAAGCGAAAAAAAGTTGAATACATTGCAAGACGCGGAATGAGACAAATATAGCACTACTTACCATCGGTATGTACTCTCATTCTCGAAGACGTTATATCAGTTGTGATGCAAAAGTATGGCAACAAGAGATCCTGCAAATAAATGATAAACACAGGTCACATTAGTAGTAAATTTTCAAAGTCAGTATTGAGGACTACCCGCCAGATATGTCGTGTTTAACTCCACTTTCCTCTACGTGATTATGTGTTTGTTTACAAAGAACATCAGTTTGTTTTGCTGTTATTCTTTCTATTTAAGAGTTACTCGATAGGTAAAGAATAATCTCTTACCATACAGTTTGTATGCAGTTAATTATCGCGATAACACAATCAAGTTATCTTTTTCTTTGTACCTCTATTTGACGCTCTCCAAAACTACTTCTAATGCTCGCGTTAAATCCACTTCCTGCAATAGAAGAAAGGATAAATGGCTGCATTACATCAAACTAATCTTGAAAGAAATACAACAACAAAAAACCAATAAAATATATAAAATGGAAAAAAAATTTAAAAATGTCAGAAGATATCAGGCTCAGTCTTTTCTCAGATTCAAATTAAGTGTACTACATGAAAAATCTCACCAGAAAACATGGAGGTGAACGGATACGTTAGATCAAGGATCTTCTTAAATAAGGACGTCATGTCCTGCAAAGTGTAAAGAGAGTAACATTGTCTTGTTAGCAAACAACCCACAGATCAGCCTAGGACTCGTAACGCTTTCCTTCCTCAGGGTATGGCCGAGTTACGAGCCTTGTAGAAGGTGGTTGTTGAACCGATAAAGGTAGGAATTTGTACGAATAGCTCTCGTTTGTTTAGTCTTAAGACTAAAACTAACTCAAAGTGAATAGACAAAGTTTAATGCGAATTTCTTCACAGCATACTACACCAAACCTTTAGGTTACAAATCACGTTGTAAGGAAAAGATGGTCAATCCTTATATGTCTATTTGGGTTTCACTCAAGTGTTGCTCTACAAATTCTTACCATTGACCACTCGCGGACCTTCTGACACATCCTATTGACGTCAGCAGTCTCGGCGTATGTTGCACCGACAAAGGATCCCATGCTGGTGCCACCCACCATGTCTATAGGTATACCTACAAGAAAAGCATACATGAATGAGATACATCTGATGTCAACTCCCGATTCACAATATTTGGGTATTGCAACTGTTTGTGATCTCAGGGTATAGAGTCCCAGAACATAGGCCGAAAGGAAATTAAAGCAGTTACGGAAAGGATGCACAACTTGCTTTTAGTGGCTCAATCCCTTTACACTCTTGCATCAGTATGCATATTCTCCATACTGTTCTCTATACATTTCCTTAGGCGTTGACAAGGAGAATTGTTTAACAATCAAAAGTTTATTTAAATGTTGATCATTTCCTTTATTCGCGTAACCTGAAAGTGTGATTCGGGAGTGACAAAATACGCGACAACCAAGCTTTCCAAAGCCTACAGAAATTCACAGCGTAACATCTTTCACAAGTTTTACTACGCTTTTTCTAACTTAAAAGGCTTTTTAATAGAAGGTAGAGAAAGGTACTGTTCGTTTTGTCACAATTGAGCTCAAAGTTTATCATCTTTGCTATAACATTTACACATACGACGCTTTTAACATCACTGATCGGAGTAGTGTACAGTTTATCACAACTGAATTTAGGAATGGCCTAGGTCGTCACCGAGCTCTCTGTTGCTCAGTAGTAGAACACTGGTCGGGGAAATACAAAGATCTGGGATTCGAGCACTAGGAGCAACATCTTCCTTCTTTATTTTAAGACCGAGCTCAAAATTAATTATCTATCTCAAGAGATCTATCTCTAAGAGTCCACATACATGTAAAGAAAAACGTATAAAGCAAGTGAAAGGTCTAACCTGCTTCCTCTAATGCTTTGATGACTCCAACATGAGATAATCCCCTAGGAAATAATAAATTCTTAGGTTAAAGACATTTATATAAGGAAAAAAAGCTGCATACTCCGGTCTCTCTCTTAGACCGATGTGCGCTTTTGGACTCTGGAAGCCAGGTTAAAGTATTTATTTCGGTACTGATTGCTGCCCTGTGTTATCAAATATCTTGATGAATGCATTTTCCTTAACTTTTATTCTTAGGAAGCATCGAAAAAAATCCTAAGGTTGACGAACCGAAAAGTAAAGCTCAAGTGCTATAATCACCTCACACGAGATGGCTTATGAAAGATACGACGTCTTCCTCGACCAGAGGAGGCGCGCGCAACCCTGTTACCCCCCCCGAACAAATGTATTACTATTAGGAAATCCTCAAAGAAAAAGTAATTTGTACTATAAAATTTTACCTGGCTCCGCCTCCTCCGAGAATTAATCCAATGGAGGTCCCTGTAAGTCTTCGCGCAAGTCGGGAAAAATCAGAATTTCTGAGAGTAAAATAAAAAGAAATTAACCCAAGTTGTTAAGAGAAATCTTAGTTTATCTTATCAGGAGATTGAAAGTTAGGGCACATTCGCAATCAGCTTTAGGCTCGAACATAAAGTCAGATGAGGATAGTTGGATTTCCAACAAAGAGATTAATGAGTTCAAAGAAAAATTTTTCTCTTGAGAGTCGAAAGTATTTAGAGATTGCATAGGTTTTGCTATGCTTTGCTCACCTCTGTCATTGGTATGCAAATATCGCACCATCTTCCCAAACAATCAGATTTAAAACTTAAACCGACAGCTGAATAAAGGGGGTAAGTTTCTAACTAAACTGTGATGCTGCGTCGGTGGGAGAGGGCCAAGGTAATTTAGTGTTATCAACTGAATTGTAACGTAAATTAGCCACCGGAAAGAGTTTTAAAGCCGACGTTTGATGCGTTAGTCCTTCGTCAGACCGAATGTCATACGCTCTTAAGAAGGGCGAACGCACGTCAGCTTCAAAACTCTTTATGGTGGCCAATTTATACGTTATCAACTCAGTTGATAATACTTAAATATCCCGTTGAACCGATGGCGACTGGATGAAGTGTGTTTTCTCGTGTTTGACTCCGGTCACGTGCGTTAGCTTTAAGAGCTCATTGGCTCCTCGTGATACTTTTAATTGTCCTACTTTGACGTGATCGCTTGGCATTCTGGTTTAACGAGCCTCAGTCAAAACGCGTTCTCACTGTAATATCGAGGTAGAGCAACACTCACCTTTCTGGTAATGGGTACGCTGCAGGATTTTGTGCATACTAAAATGAAAGAAAAAACATAAATAAATGACACATCAACAATCAATCAAATCGAAACGGCCATGATACGCTAATAAAATGACTGATGCGGTAGTTTTGAATCCTTCCTACCCTTTCAGACAACGGGCGTCGTCCAAAGATTTTCTTAGCGCATCGAACCTAGAAATAATAAGTAAGTAAGTAATCAATAGGAGTCTAACAATCAACAAGGCACAGTGGAACTACTATATCTCGTTAGAAAGTGAACTTATACCTCAACTAGTGTACTCCATTGGGAGCTGGAAAAATCTAACGCAAGTAATTATATCTGCGATTGAAAATAAGCGAAAAGGGAAATTTAACTGAGAACTCAAAGTTAAAACAAGCAAACTGTCGAATGCGCAGGAAAATAAGGGAAACGATTCGATTTGTGTAAGTTTTACATTTGATTGGTCGAGAAGACAATGCGAAATTTTTAGGTCATTAAAGAGTGTTGTGAAGTGAGACCAAAGCAACCACGAATTACTTCCTACACTCATTTCAAAATAAATTGCTCTTAAACGTGGTCTTACATGATGATGAGCGCAGATCCAGCCGCGCGCGTTCAACCAATCTACAGTGTGTGAAATTCGGAAACCTTTAGCGCCATCCTCACGGTGTAAGAGAATAAGCTCCTTTTGAGATCGTACACCAATATTCTCCAGCTGTTTTTCAAGCTGAAAAGGGAGGTAAATATAACAGAATGATCACTACGCACTGAAATACGATTAACTCTACAATGTACATGGTAAACAAACAAGCATTTGCCAGCACATCAGAACTTTATGTCTTGTCTAAGCCTTTAAACGGGAGATTAAAAATCCAGGATAGCCAAGTAAGCATGTATGTCAAAGAGTTGAATAGTTTGATGCATTTACACTGTTTGTTGCGCCAAAATATAGGGCCTTATTTTCACTACTGCTTAAGTAATGTTCATTACTGCGAAGATCACTTTCACGTTCATTTCTTTGTCCGCAGTTCACATGTATGATCTTCATATCTCTACAGTCATTTTCACACCACTCCACGGGTTTATTTGGAAACCAACATAACGACGAGTTCCAGTTGGCTTGTTCAGTCAGTTGGTAGAGTGCTGCAACAGTATCGCCGCGGTCATGGGTTCAAATCCCGTACAGGTCTTATTTTCACTACTGCTTATGTAGTGTTCATTACTGCGAAGATCGCTTCTATATTCATTTCTTTATCGGCAGTTCTCAAACTCATTAATAATTCATGCTGAGAAAACAAAGGAAATTACAACCGTGAAGGAGGTTTGGATATGTGATCTTAATTATCATAAAATCTGGTGACTTTTTGCTTTGATTTTCTCCAAGAATTATTAATGGTTTGAGAAGCTATATCAAACATTCGAAAGGGTATTTCATCCGATATCCAAACACCTTGAAGTTGGTTAAAAAATACTCGGCTGCGCCTCGTTTTCTCAACCACTTCTCGGTGTTTGGATATCGGATGAAACACTCTTCCTCGTGTTTGATATATTACTTCATATACATGATTTTCGCATATTTGCAATCAATGTGGGCCCTTTAAGTGTTCCGTGAGCCAAACTAAGAAAATCTAAACCGCTAGTCAGAATAAAGGACATTATCTTAGCGAACCTTTACAGGAACTCAAAATATTCACTCTCGACCGGATTAAAGCGTGGGTAAACTTAGGTGAGGGAGAAACAACGAGCTTTGGTTTAGCGACACTCGAAAGAAGTGCATTCGAAACTCCAAGCTGAATCTGAGAAATGTGTGAAATGGCAAAACTGGTAAGGTATATATGCTTTATCAGAATAGAAGTTTTCCAAGCAGTGCTTGAAGAACAAACTGTCCCAAATCAAAGCGCTTTTCGATCGAGTGTGATAAAACCAAAAACCGAGGTTATCACAAGGTTTATCAGAAGAGAGGAAAATATCAGAAGAACTTAACCCTTTCACCCCTAAGAGTGACCAGCATCGAATTTCTCCTTACAATATCACCACTGAATCACACATGAATGTCATGAGAATGAAGGAAATGATCACCAACTAAAGAAACTCTTGATTGTTAGACAAATTGTCCTTGTCAACACCTTCGTAACTGTACAGAGAGCAGTATAGAGAATGTGAATACTGATGTTAGGGTGTAAAGGGTTAATAAGAACTTAAGGAAAAAAAAAAGACTGCCTGACTAGTTTTGGTCGAGAGGGCATCGAGTTTTTTTAAGACAAGTGAGAGGGCGTAGTAAAGAGAAAACGAAGTAGTCCTTCATTATGGTCAAAATTCAATTGAAAATTGAAATATGAGAGGATTAATCGATAAAAACCAAATAAAATTGATGGAGCTGATACCTGACCAACTGCTGGGCTTCCGTCTGCCACACCAACAATGACAATGGAATCCGCCTGAGAGGGGAAGACAAAATAATACGTTCAATTAAGAAAGGAAAACAAAGAAAAACTATTATTAAATTATGCAATCGAACTTGTACACAACACTTAACGTTTGATGACTGTGCTAGCATTCTTGGCTTATTGCTGTGGCAGAATTTAGTTACAAAGAAGTTAATGCACAGCTCAGTTCGTGGACAACTACCCTCAAATTAACGTGCGAGTAAGCTTTCTCAGAGAGGGTGATTTTTCCCGTTATTTCCTACTCCATCGTGCTCTCTCACAAGGACCAACTATTCTTTGACGAGAACTGAGTTGAGAAGGAGAGGATGGTAAGAAAGGTTCAATTACAAGCGTAGTTTAGGAACTTTAGGAGAGAGTCTTGCTACTCTTGGGCATTGTCAAACTCTTGAATCTTCATGGCGTCTTTAAGTGTTTAGACTCTAACTTAAGAATGCTTCAAATAATACTGTTCGCCATCGACTGTCGCTCAGTTAGTAAAGTATCCCACCGTAAATCTGTGACGATCCGAGTTCAGACTCCTCAATGAAGACTCAGGTCTTTCCTTCTTATCCCAAGCTCGAGTATTATGCTTAAAATCTTTCTTTAACCGTTTATAAAATTTCACGAAGGCCTGAAGTGTTGGTTATACTACTGCTGAATAATTGAGTACTTTACTTACAGGAAAACATATAAACAAAGAGCATATCAAATCTTGTCGTTCCCTTTTGACCCAGTGTTACGTCTTGCGCAGCTAGATGTATCCTGCCAGCACTAATTCTGTTGGGTGTGTTCAAGCGACCCAGCAAGATGTAAGCTTATTACAAAAGAAACATGTTTTTATTTGCATTTGTACCAGGTGGCACGAAAATTTAAAGACACGCAGTTCCCTCTGGTGATTTCGCTCCTCTTTGTCCTCATCGCATTTCCAACAATGGATTCTAAGCCTGCGAAGTGGGTGCCACTCAACGAAGAGGTAAGAATTCTAACCACCGTAGACTGTCCTTAAATTCATCTGGTAAGACCGAGCTAGACCGCTGTTTGGACTTGTTTCTCTTGGTGGATGTTTAATACTTTTTTTCTTTTTTGGCAACTTCTGCAGTGTGGAAGCCCATGATGAGTTTAGACCTCCCATTGGCAAACGTATCGCTGATATAAATTTCAACACTGTGGACGACCTAAATTACAAGTTGCCGGTATCGACTTCAACACTGTGGAAGACCAAAATAAGTTCCGTCCTCCCAGAAGCAAACGCAATGCTGGCATAGACTTCAACACTAAGGAAGATTAAGATGAGTTTCGGTCCTCCAATACAACCCACAAACGAAAGTAAGATGATTTAAAGAGGTTGCAAATAGAATTTTCTAACGATAATCACATCATCTTAAAGTAGCATCACGTAAACAAAGTCATGTTTTTTTGGGATAGTTTTTATGTTTCTGGTGATCGCTGAAAGAAACACGAGTTAAGTCCTTCCGTAGGCAAACGCAGCGCCGTCATGGACTTAAACACTATGGAGCGCCAAGATAAGTTAATTCCTCACCAAGAAAAATCAGTGCCAACATCAACTTTAACACTGTGCAAGACTAAGATAAGTTATTCTTCCCCCGGGCAAACGCAGTGCTGGCATCAACTTCCACACTGTGGAAGACCGAGATAAATTTCTTTCATCCGCAGGCAAACGCAGTGCTGGCATCATCTTCAGCACCGTGAAAGACCAAGATAAATTTCTTCCTCCCGCAGGCAAACGCAGTGCCGGCGTCAACTTCAACACTGTGGAAGACCAAGATAAATTTCTTCCTCCCGCAGGTAAACGCAGTGCTGGTATCATCTTCAACACTAACACTGCATCCATTACCAATATTCTGAGAAATGCTCTATTGAATTTGTGACGGTTCATTGACTTATTCCTTGTTTAATTGTCCATGTGTCTATGAAATTTAAACTTCTTTAAGTTTTTAAGACGCTTGTCGAACTTCCCTTGAGAGTCCTTGTGAAGTTTTCAATATTTTCCAAATTGCCATTTTCCAAGATTTGAAGCCATTTGCTGAACTTCAGTAAAGTGTATGGGCAAAGTGTTCACTTTTCTTAATACTAATTCATGTCAAGGTATTTTAAAAATTTTAATTAGCTATGCCATCAGTCACGCCACTATTCAAATTCTTATGAAGGCGCTTACGGTTCTTTTCCAACCCCTGTGACCACCATTGTAATAAAGTGTCTATTTTGGAAGAATACTATTTTCAACTTCAATTCTAAGCTAAAACCGTTCGGACGAAAAATCAACAAAAACTTATCATTACAAGTAGAGGAGGAGTTTCTAAAGAAACTGAAGTACTGCGTCGGTGGGGGGCGGGGGGGTATGACAAGATAATTCGGTTTGATCAACTAAGTTGATTTTTAATGCAAATTGACCACTGTAAAGAGTTTCTACGGCTAAAGTTTCAAGCGTAAGCCTTTCGTTAGCCATTCGCTCATTAAAAGCGATTTGTTCAAAGCCTGTGTCAGTGACATCGCCTTTAGGTAAAGGAGCAATTTGTGTTCAGTTTTCTTAATACTAATTGTGGTCAAGATATTTAAAAAAAATTTTAATTAGCCATGCCCTCAGGCACGCCACTAGAAGCTGCGGCTAAAGTTTCAAGCGTTAGCCTTTCGTTAGCCATTCGCTCATTAAAAGTGATTTGTTCAAAGTCTGTGTCAGTGACATCGCCTTTAGGTAAAGGAGCAATTTGAAAATGTCTTAAAACTACCCTCCAAACCTGAGTCACGCTTGCAATCTCATTTCTCTGTCACAGAAACTTCATTTTTGTATAATTACCCTAACAATGAACACCAGTCAGGGGTGGCCAAAATGTGATCACTTACGGTCTGCAATGCAAGTGTCCCTCAGACAGCTCACATCATTTAAGAATCCACTTCCATAGTTTTCTGATGATATCTTATAATAGAACACCGAAACTTATATTGACAATTCAGACCTTAAGACTCTTTCAAGTTCAAGGACGGCCGGGACTTGAAAAGCATTTAAGCATATTAGGTACGTTAAATTAAAAACCATGTTAAGTAAACAAAAATTACAATATCATTGAACCAGAGCGAGAAAACTCCCTTTAGTCTTCTTCCAGCGTTATTTGGTCCCGCTATGCAACGCGAGCGTGTTGCTCTCCTGCACATGTAAAGACTTGTTCTCTCACAAGGACCAAATATTCGTCGACGAGAACTGAGTTGAGATAAAATTTTAGCTAGAAGCTTTGAAGTACAGGATCGAAAGGTAAGAAAGGTTTAATAACAAGCATAATTTGGGAAGTTTAGGAGATCATCGGATCATGGGCATCTTCAAGCTCTTGTATGTTCATAACGTCTTTAAGTGTTTCGACTCTAACTTAAAAATGCTTCAAACAATACTGTTCGCCATCGACTATCGCTCAGTTAGTAAAATATCCGAAAACCGTGACCGTTCGGGCGGTTCAGAATCCTCAATAACTACTCATGTCTTTTCTCCTTGACCTAAGCTCGAGCATTATGCTTAAAATCTTTCTTTAAACGTTTATAAAATTTCACGAAGGCCTGAAGTCTTGGTCGTGTCACGGCTGAATGACTATATAGTTAACTTACATGAAAACTAATAAACAAAGAGCATATCAACTCTTGTCGTTCCTTTTGACACTATGTTGCGTCTTACGCGGCTAGATGTGTACCGCTAGTAGTAATCCTGTTGAGTGCGCTCAAGCGACCCAGCGAGATGTAAGCTCGTTACAAGAGAAACGTGTTTTTATTTTCATTTGTACCAGGTCGCACGAAAATTTAAAGAAATGAAGTTCCCTTTGGTGATTCCGCTCCTCTTTGTCCTCATCGCAATTCCAACAATGGATTCTAAGCGTTCGAAACGGGCATCACTCAACGAAGAGGTAAGAAATCTAACCACCGTGGACTGTCCTTAAATTCATCTGGTAAGATCGCTGTTTTGACTTGTTTCACTAGAAAGATGCTTTATAGTGTTAGAAGTAATTTCCTAACACTCGTCGTTCAGTTGACTATTTCTTTTATTCTCTCTTTTATTACGCAAGTCAATACAACGGGGACTGGCTCTGGTCTCTCTAGGAAAGTGTGGGTCACCGCATATAAAGGTGACGCTTACTGTGCTGTCAATCTCTAACCTTCGTCATACTTTTATACTTAACTAGCGAATCACGCTAGCTACACAGATCGGAGTTCGCATACTAAGTAGATACCTTCGCGATGTTTACGCTTTACAAAATGTCTTTCTACCTTAAATTTCTTAGTCTTACGGTCAAGGTTGAGCGAAACAAAAACCAGATTGATAATATACAAATTACAATAAACTTACTGACAGAATTAAAATCAAAGTTGAGGAAATATCCTGAGAGAAAATGGTCCTCGAAGACTGTCACATAACGACAGAACAAACAGAAAATTCGGAGAAGAAAGGGCGTACCCAAGGTACCGCCCCCAAAAGAGTTACGTGCTATGCGTATAAATTACCTGATTTTAAATTCAGTGCGGAAGATGAAAAGTACTACATGTTTACACCTTAAGTCACCTCTAAGTAAAAGAGGTGTCGAGCGTGCTAAATTATACCAGTAAGATGAGACCGCCAAAAGGAATAAGAAATGATCAATTGGCTTATTATAACTTTTACTGTGTGGCTTGTGCTAATATATTATTTCCATTCATTTTCAACGTTCAAATAAGTAAAAAAAAACACCTACAATGAAAATTCTTGCTAGATGCCAATTTGCCTTTTAACAATAGTTTTTTCTTTTTTTTGAAATCAAATTATAGGGAAGCGACAACTTCTACGGTGTAGAAGCCCATGATGAGTTTAAACCTCCCAAGGGCAAACGTTTCGCCGGCATAAACTTCAACTCTGTGGAAGACCAAGAAAAGTTTATTCCTCCCCCAGGCAAACGCAATGCCGGCATCAACTTCAACTCTGTGGAAGACCAAGATAGGTTTATTCCTCCCCCAGGCAAACGCAGTGCCGGCATTGACTTCAACACTGTGGAAGACCAAGATAAGTTCGGTCTTCCCCCGGGCACACAGAGTGCTGGCATCAACTTCAACACTGTGGAAGACCAAGATAAGTTCGTTCTTCCCCAGCAGGGAAAACGCAGTGCCGGCATGGACTTCAACACCATGGAAGACCAAGATAAGTTCCGTGTTCCCGATGCCGGAATACCTCCTCACCCCTCAGGCAAACGAAAGTAGGATGATTTACAGAAGTTGCAAAGACAATTTGCGAATGATAATCACATCATCTTAATGTAGAAGGATAGCATATCACGTATGCAAAGTCATGTTTTTAAGATAGTTTTTGTTTCTGGTGACCGCTGAAAGAAACACAAAAATTTGCATATCTAATTAGGTGAGAACCGAGGATAAGCCGAAATTACAAACTTTTTAAAATTTTTCCCGTAACTAAGTTGATGGAACCTTTAACTATTTTCCAAGAGAGTTTCGCTAAAACAAATAACAATCGATTGCTTGGGACTGACTATCATTTCTCGATATTCTCACAAATGCTCTATTGAATTCTTTGTGACGGTTCATTGACTTATTCCTTGTTTACTTGTCCATGTGTCTATGAAATAAAAACTTCTTCAAGTTTTTGAGACGCTCGTCGAACTTCCATTAAGAGTCCTAGTGAAGTTTTCAATATTTTCCAAATTGCCAATTTCCAAGATTTGAAGCCATTTGCTGAACGTTAGTAAAGGGTATCGGCAAAGTGTTCAGTTTTCTTAATACTAACTGTGGTCAAGATATTTTAAAAAATTTTAATTAGCCATGCCCTCAGGCACGCCACTAGAAGCTGCGGTGTCATTCCACACACTGCCTATTGTTCAGCTTGTCATTTTATCATTCCCGTGCGTCAAAGTCAGTTCCTGTTTTTCGCTGGGAGTCACATTCACCTGACCTTCGCAGCTTCTAAAAATTTCAGTAGCTTTTAATTTGCTTTATTCTAATTCCTATTAAGGCGCTTAAGGTTCTTTACCCCAGTGACCACCATCGTACTTTAGTGTCTATTTCGGAAGAATACTAATTTCAACCTCTATACTAAGCTAAAAACCGTTCGGACTTCAAACTGAAAACCTGCCAGTGAGAACCGAGGATAAGCCGAAATTACAAACTTTTTAAAATATTTCCGTAACTTAGTTGATGAAACCTTTCACTATTTCTCCTTAAATTCTTCATCCAGGAAGTTTTGGCAAAACAAAATAAAAATCGATTGTTTGGGACTGTCTATCAATTCTCAATAAACTCACAAATGCACAATTGAATTCTTTGTGACGGTTCATTGACTAATTCCTTGTTTAATTATCCGTTTGTCCATGAAATATATACTTCTTCAAGTTTTTCAGACCCCTGTCGAACTTCCATTTAGAGTCCTGGTGAAGTTTTCAGTATTTTCCAAATTGCCAATTTCCAGGATTTAAAGGGTACCGTCTGTAAAGGGTATCGGCAAAGTTTTCAGCTTTCTTAACACTAATTCTTGACAAGGTAATTTAAATATTTTAATCAGTCATGCCATCAGACACACCATTATTCTAGTTCCTATTAAGGCGCTTTACCGCCATCGTACTTAAGTGTCGATCTTGGAAGAACACTAATTTTAACTGCAGTTCTAAGCTAAAAACGTTCGGACTTCAAACTATAAATCTTGTCTATGCAAAGGTAAACAAAAATCAACAAAAACTGTTTCATTAAAAGCACAGGAGGTAAGTTCTCAAGGAAACTGTGGTGCTGTGTCAGTGGGGGAGTAACAAGATAATTCGGTGTGATACACTGAGTTGATAATGTAAATTGGCCACTGTAAAGAGTTTCTACAGCTAAAGTTTCGAGCGTTAGCCCTTCGTTAGCCATTCGCTCATTAAAAGTGAGTTATTCACAGTCTATGTTAGTAAATACTCCTTTTGATGAAGGAGCAATGAGTTGACAGTGTTTTAAAACCACCCTCCAAAACTGAGTCACGTTCACAATCTCATTTCTGTGTCACAGAAACCTTATTTTCGTATAATTACCCTGATAATGGACACCGGTTAGGGGTGGCCAAAATGTGATCACTTGCGGTGTGACAATGCAAGTGTCCCTCAGACAGCTCACATCATTTAGGAATCCACTTTCCATAGTTTTCTGATGAAATCTAATAACAGAACACCGAAACTTATTTTGACAGTTCAGACATTAAGACTCTTTCAAGTTCAAGGACGGCCGGGACTTGAAAAGCATTTTAAGCATATTATGCATGTTAAATTAAAAACCATGTTAAGTAAACAAAAATTACAATATCATTGAACCAGAGCAAGAACACTCCCTTAAGTCTCCTTCCAGCGTTATTTGGTCTAGCTACGCAACGCGAGCGTGTTGCTCTCCTGCATATGTAAAGGATTTGTTCTCTCACAAGGACCAAATATTCGTCGACGAGAACTGAGTTGAGATAAACTTTAAGCTAGAAGCTTTGAAGTACAGCATCGAAAGGTAAGAAAGGTTTAATAAGAAGCATAATTTGGGAAGTTTAGGAGAGAGTCTGGCTACGCTTGAGTATCGTCAAACCCTAGAATGTTCATGGCGTCTTTCAGTGTTTAGACTCTAAGTTAAAAATTCCTCAAACAATACTGTTCGCCATCTACTGTCGTTCACTTAGTAAAGTATCCGACTGTAAACCGTGACCGTTCGGGCGGTTCAGAATCCTCAATAACTACACGAATCTTATCTCCTTGTCCCAACCTCGAGTAATCTTTCATTGAACGTTTATAAAATTTCACGAAGGCCTAAATTGTTGGTCATACCACGGCTGAATGACTAAATACTTAACTTACAGGAAAACAAATAAACAAAGAGCATCTTAACTCTTATCGTTCCTTTCGGCACAATGTTGCGTCTTACGCGGCTAGATGTATACCGCCAGTACTAATTCTGTTGAGTGTGTTCAAGCGACCCAGCAAGATGTAAGCTTATTACAAAAGAAACATGATTATTTGCATTTGTACCAGGTGGCACGAAAATTTAAAGTCATGAAGTTCCCTTTGGTGATTTCGCTCCCCTTTTTCCTCATCGCATTTCCAACAATGGATTCTAAGCCTGCTAAGTTCCGTCCTTCCAATGGCAAACTTAGTGCCGGCATGGATTTCAACACTGTGGAAGACCAAGATAAGTTCGGTCTTCCCCCGGGCACACACAGTGCTGGCATCAACTTCAACTCTGTGGAAGACCGAGATAAGTTTATTAATCCCCCGCCCCCGCAGGGAAAACGCAGTGCTGGCATCAACTTCAACTCTGTGGAAGACCAAGATAAGTTTATTCCTCCCCCGCATGGAAAACGCAGTGCTGGCATCAACTTCAACTCTGTGGAAGACCGAGATAAGTTTATTAATCCCCCGCCCCCGCAGGGAAAACGCAGTGCTGGCATCAACTTCAACTCTGTGGAAGACCAAGATAAGTTTATTCCTCCCCCGCATGGAAAACGCAGTGCTGGCATCAACTTCAACTCTGTGGAAGACCAAGATAAGTTTATTCCTCCCCCAGGCAAACGCAGTGCCGGCATTGACTTCAACACTGTGGAAGACCAAGATAAGTTCATTCCTCCCATAGGCAAACGCAGTGCTGACATCAACTTCAACACTATGGAAGATTAAGATGAGTTTCGGTCCTCGGTGACAGTCCGCAAACGAAAGTAGGATGATTTACAGAAGTTTGAAAGAAAATTTGCGAATGATAATCGCATCATCTTAATGTAGAAGGATAGCATATCTTGTACGCAAAGTCATGTTTTTAAGATAGTTTTTGTTTCTGGTGAACGCTAAAAGAAACACAAAGTTTGCATATCTAATTAGGTGAGAACCGAGGATAAGCCGAAATTACAAACTTTTTAAATTTTTTCCCGTAATTGAGTTGATGGAACCTTTAACTATTTTCCCTTAAATTCCTTCATCCAGGAGAGTTTCGCAAAAACAAATAAAAATCGATTGCTTGGGACTAACTATCATTTCTCAATATTCTCACAAATGCTCTATTGAATTCTTTGTGACGGTTCATTGACTTATTCCTTGTTTACTTGTCCATGTGTCTATGAAATATAAACTTCTTCAAGTTTTTGAGACGCTCGTCGAACTTCCATTAAGAGTCCTAGTGAAGTTTTCAATATTTTCCAAATTGCCAATTTCCAAGATTTGAAGCCATTTGCTGAACGTTAGTAAAGGGTATCGGCAAAGTGTTCAGTTTTCTTAAGACTAACTGTGGTCAAGATATTTTAAAAAATTTTAATTAGCCATGCCCTCAGGCTTGCCACTAGAAGCTGCGGTGTCATTCCAGACACTGCCTATTGTTCAGCTTGTCATTTTATCATTCCCGTGCGTCAAAGTCAGTTCATGTTTTTCGCTGGGAGTCACATTCACCTGACCTTCGCAGCTTCTAAAAATTTCAATAGCTTTTAATTTGCTTAATTCTAATTCCTATTAAGGCGCTTAAGGTTTTTTACCAACCCCAGTGACCACCATCGTACTTCAGTGTCTATTTCGGAAGAATACTAATTTCAACCTCAATACTAAGCTTAAAACCGTTCGGACTTCAAACTGAAAACCTGCCAGTGAGAACCGTGGATAAGCCGAAATTACAAACTTTTAAAAATTTTTCCGTAACTACGTTGATGGAACTTTTCACTATTTCTCCTTAAATTCTTCATCCAGGAAGTTTTGGCAAAACAAAATAAAAATCGATTGTTTGGGACTGTCTATCAATTCTCAATAAACTCACAAATGCACAATTGAATTCTTTGTGACGGTTCATTGACTAATTCCTTGTTTAATTATCCGTTTGTCCATGAAATATAAACTTCTTCAAGTTTTTCAGACCCCTGTCGAACTTCCATTTAGAGTCCTGGTGAAGTGTTCAATATTTTCCAAATTGCCAATTTCCAGGATTTAAAGGGTACCGTCTCTAAAGGGTATCGGCAAAGTTTTCAGCTTTCTTAACACTAATTCTTGACAAGGTAATTTAAATATTTTAATCAGTCATGCCATCAGACACACCATTATTCTAGTTCCTATTAAGGCGCTTTACCGCCATCGTACTTAAGTGTCGATCTTGGAAGAACACTAATTTTAACTGCAGTTCTAAGCTAAAAACGTTCGTACTTCAAACTATAAATCTTGTCTATGCAAAGGTAAACAAAAATCAACAAAAACTGTTTCATTAAAAGCACAGGAGGTAAGTTCTCAAGGACACTGTGGTGCTGTGTCAGTGGGGGAGTAACAAGATAATTCGGTGTGATACACTGAGTTGATAATGTAAATTGGCCATTGTAAAGAGTTTCTACAGCTAAAGTTTCGAGCGTTAGCCCTTCGTTAGCCATTCGCTCATTAAAAGTGAGTTATTCACAGTCTATGTTAGTAAATACTCCTTTTGATGAAGGAGCAATGAGTTGACAGTGTTTTAAAACTGAGTCACGTTCACAATCTCATTTCTGTGTCACAGAAACCTTATTTTCGTATAATTACCCTGATAATGGACACCGGTTAGGGGTGGCCAAAATGTGATCACTTGCGGTGTGACAATGCAAGTGTCCCTCAGACAGCTCACATCATTTAGGAATCCACTTTCCATAGTTTTCTGATGAAATCTAATAACAGAACACCGAAACTTATTTTGACAGTTCAGACATTAAGACTCTTTCAAGTTCAAGGACGGCCGGGACTTGAAAAGCATTTTAAGCATATTATGCATGTTAAATTAAAAACCATGTTAAGTAAACAAAAATTACAATATCATTGAACCAGAGCAAGAACACTCCCTTAAGTCTCCTTCCAGCGTTATTTGGTCTAGCTACGCAACGCGAGCGTGTTGCTCTCCTGCATATGTAAAGGATTTGTTCTCTCACAAGGACCAAATATTCGTCGACGAGAACTGAGTTCAGATAAACTTTAAGCTAGAAGCTTTGAAGTACAGCATCGAAAGGTAAGAAAGGTTTAATAAGAAGCATAATTTGGGAAGTTTAGGAGAGAGTCTGGCTACGCTTGAGTATCGTCAAACCCTAGAATGTTCATGGCGTCTTTCAGTGTTTAGACTCTAAGTTAAAAATTCCTCAAACAATACTGTTCGCCATCTACTGTCGTTCACTTAGTAAAGTATCCGACTGTAAACCGTGACCGTTCGGGCGGTTCAGAATCCTCAATAACTACACGGGTCTTATCTCCTTGTCCCAACCTCGAGTAATCTTTCATTGAACGTTTATAAAATTTCACGAAGGCCTAAATTGTTGGTCATACCACGGCTGAATGACTAAATACTTAACTTACAGGAAAACAAATAAACAAAGAGCATCTTAACTCTTATCGTTCCTTTCGGCACAATGTTGCGTCTTACGCGGCTAGATGTATACCGCCAGTACTAATTCTGTTGAGTGTGTTCAAGCGACCCAGCAAGATGCAAGCTTATTACAAAAGAAACATGTTTATTTGCATTTGTACCAGGTGGCACGAAAATTTAAAGTCATGAAGTTCCCTTTGGTGATTTCGCTCCCCTTTTTCCTCATCGCATTTCCAACAATGGATTCTAAGCCTGCTAAGTTCCATCCTCCCAATGGCAAACTTAGTGCCGGCATGGATTTCAACACTGTGGAAGACCAAGATAAGTTCGGTTTTCCCCCGGGCACACACAGTGCTGGCATCAACTTCAACTCTGTGGAAGACCGAGATAAGTTTATTGTTCCCCCGCCCCCGCAGGGAAAACGCAGTGCTGGCATCAACTTCAACTCTGTGGAAGACCAAGATAAGTTTATTCCTCCCCTGCCCCCGCAGGGAAAACGCAGTGCTGGCATCAACTTCAACACTGTGGAAGACCAAGATAAGTTCTTTCCTCCCTTAGGCAAACGCAATGCTGACATCAACTTCAACACTATGGAAGATTAAGATGAGTTTCGGTCCTCGGTGACAGTCCGCAAACGAAAGTAGGATGATTTACAGAAGTTTGAAAGAAAATTTGCGAATGATAATCGCATCATCTTAATGTAGAAGGATAGCATATCTTGTACGCAAAGTCATGTTTTTAAGATAGTTTTTGTTTCTGGTGAACGCTAAAAGAAACACAAAAATGTGCATATCTAATTAGGTGAGAACCGAGGATAAGCCGAAATTACAAACTTTTTAAAATTTTTCCCGTAATTGAGTTGATGGAACCTTTAACTATTTTCCCTTAAATTTCTTCATCCAAGAGAGTTTCGCAAAAACAAATAAAAATCGATTGCTTGGGACTGACTATCATTTCTCAATATTCTCACAAATGCTCTATTGAATTCTTTGTGACGGTTCCTTGACTTATTCCTTGTGTACTTGTCCATGTGTCTATGAAATATAAACTTCTTCAAGTTTTTGAGACGCTCGTCGAACTTCCATTAAGAGTCCTAGTGAAGTTTTAAATATTTTCCAAATTGCCAATTTCCAATATTTGAAGCCATTTGCTGAACGTTAGTAAAGGGTATCGGCAAAGTGTTCAGTTTTCTTAATACTTACTGTGGTCAAGATGTTTTAAAAATTTTAATTAACCATCCCCTCAGGCACGCCACTAGAAGCTGCGGTGTCATTTCACACACTGCCTATTGTTCAACTTGTCATTTTATCATTCCCGTGCGTCAAAGTCAGTTCATGTTTTTCGCTGGGAGTCACATTCACCTGACCTTCGCAGCTTCTAAAAATTTCAGTAGCTTTTAATTTGCTTAATTCTAATTCCTATTAAGGCGCTTAAGGTTTTTCACCAACCCCAGTGACCACCATCGTACTTCAGTGTCTATTTCGGAAGAATACTAATTGCAACCTCAATACTAAGCTAAAAACCGTTCAGACTTCAAACTGAAAACCTGCCAGTGCAAAAGTTGAATAAAAATCAACAACATCTGATTCATTACAAGTAAAGGAGGTACGTTTCTGAAGAAACTGAAGAACTGCGTCGGTGGGAGTATGACAAGATAATTCGGTTTGATCAACTAAGTTGATAAAAGCTAGGGGAATGACGGGTTGACCACTTAATACAGGCTAACCACTGAGTACAGGGTGACCACTGAATACAGGGTGACCACTGAATACAGGGTGACCACTGAATACAGGGTGACCACTTAATAAAGGGTGACCACTCAATAAAGGGTGACCACTGAATACAGGGTAACCACTTAATACAGGGTCGCCACTTAATACAGGGTAACCACTAAATACAGGGTGACCACTTAATACAGGATGACCACTTAATACAGGCTAACCACTGAATACAGGGTGACCACTGAATACAGGGTGACCACTGAATACAGGGTGACCACTGAATACAGGGTGACCACTGAATACAGGGTGACCACTGAATACAGGGTGACCACTGAATACAGGGTGACCACTGAATACAGGGTGACCACTGAATACAGGGTGACCACTGAATACAGGGTGACCACTGAATACAGGGTGACCACTGAATACAGGGTGACCACTTAATAAAGGGTGACCACTCAATAAAGGGTGACCACTTAATAAAGGGTGAACGCTAAATACAAGTTCCACAGAATAGGACTGATATAAAAAAAACGCCTTTTTTACCATTATCTATATAGCTTTTTTTTCGATTTTCTATAAGACCACATTAGCGTTTTAAATCGTTATATATAAATAAATAAAATAAAAAATTTCTTTCCGACATTCTACCTGTCTTATACAGCGTTTTGTCCAGGCAGACATAAATGTATCAGCTTGATACAACACAATACGATGAAGATCCTCTTGTTGTCCAAGCCAGCTGGACAAACGGTACTCATTCATGCTAGGAACACAAAACAGAAGAAGGTTAAAAAGTACGCAAAAGGAAATTCTACTTTTAATAATAACATTTATTGGGCCAAATTTCCATTAGCACGATTCCTTTCCAACGCAGCACTCAAATACATAAAAGATTTCCTCAGAGAAAAGTCGCCCTTTCCGAACGGCGAAATGAAATTTTTGAACAAAAATACTTGTTCAGGGAAAAATGTGGTTAAACCCCCCCCCCCCCCCCACACACACACACACACACACACACTCTTTGGGAATTTAATAATTTAGACCAAGAAAGATTAAATTCTACTCCCGCTGCTGTCGTCGATAAACTTTCATTTCCGAATGAAAAAAAGAACGTTTCTTTCTTGAAGAACACACTTGCCACGAAAAAGTTTCCAAGCAGTTCAATACCTGTCCATCGCTGAGCTACCAAGCCTGCTTCGGACCAATGAACTGGTCAGCAACAAGGTGGGGCCTGAAACAAACAAACAAACAAATTCCAAATCAGTAAACCTGCATGCAGGTGAATAACAAACCCACACTCCAAGATTTTGTGATGGTTTTACACTTTAGAGTAACAGTCTTTCCGGTGTTGACCCTGAACATCTTTTCTAGTTATTCCTAAAATTTAAAATAACTTTAACCTTTGGAATAAGACCATCTGTATGTAGCAATTCAGTCCACTGGCTTACTTTCTATATGTCACTTCGACCGAGTACCGTAAACCTACAATCAAGGTAATCACACTGGCCGAAAAACATCATAAGCGGCCGATGAGAACTCGATGTAGAACAAGCAAACTGCCTTAAGCGCGGGAAAACAAGAGTGACCATGTCGCGATTGCTTTCAGTTTTGGCGCGAAATTTGCTGTCCAATCTGAGAGTATGGTGGAGCAAAACCAACTTCTCCTTCATTAGGTACTTACCTATAGTATGAAGAGCTAAGCTGAGTTCAAATGAGAAGTTTGAGACTGGGACATCCTCTGACGCAGGGATGATGGCAACTGTGCCGAGATTTGAGCCTCCGAATATCTGATTATCAACCGGGAGGTGATTTTCTGCGTATCAAAACGTGTTTACCATATGAGTTGAAAAGAGTATTCCAAGCATCTTACAAACATAGATCTAAAAATGCTTCCTTGTGTGTGTAAAACACCCCAGCACAGAAGGAAGCAAAATCGCTAACCACTAACCAAGACAATCTAAGAACAATTACGGCAACCATCACGATACGAACACGCAAACGAGTATTCGACCCAACAACGGAGAACGGAACGAAGAGATCAAAACTCGAACGTACAACCAAATCCAGTAAACTAGTGAAGCTGGAAATGAACAAACTAATGCCTCTTTAGGTATTTATTTTTGGTCAAAGCGCTCATAGAGTTTATTACAAAATCAAAAAGTAACATTCAAGAGTTGACCAGACTGTCCAATCTGCTGAGATGATTAGAATTTGCCGTTGATTAGTAACTTCGGTGCTGTGAACAATACTTTAAACTTTTTTTATCTTCGTTCTCACACGTACGCTTCACAACACAGTAAAGAAGTATCTTCATACCAAGCAATGTTTCGCTTCTTGCGTAACTTCGTCTGTACTGTCCCAGCAGCCGTTCACCAAGTAAATGAATTAGACGAGTAACTACCTGTAAAAGAAAGAGAAACCAAACTGAAACGTTTTTGCGATTTCTTTCTTTAGGGGATGATTATAAATCCCACTTGAAAGTAGAAAAAATAGGCATGTTGTTAAGTCTTAGAGGACAGCATGGGCTATAAAGTACATTGCCCAGATACAATTGACAGCAGAATAAAACGGTGTTGGTCATTTTGTTTAACGATAATTACAAGTTTACCTGAGGGAAATGTCTCTTGATTGTGTTCAACAACCCATCGGGAAGAACTGCCAGCTCAGTATCCCTGTGTGTGGAAACATGAAAGACCGGTTATTTTCACGAGGTCTAACCTATACCGCGGCTTTACGCACGCAGTGGGCCTCAGAGATTCTATATAAAAGGGTTGATTTAATTAAATAAATGTCCTTCCACTGTTAGTTTTCGGCTCTCTTAACACTGTTCACAAAAGTAAATGTTCAGCTAAAAGGTTCTGCTCAATCGAAGATGGCTTACAACGCTGTTTTGAGAAACAACGGCTAAATTTTGTTTAAATAACAGGCCCAATGAGCATGAGTTTACAATAAAATACCTCAGTTGCAGTATTGAGAGCTATACTGACGGTTTTTATACCTATTGAGTGGTTGCAACTACTAAAAACAACCATCCTTTAATACATGGTTTGATGGTAAAAATTGATATTGAGGTCAAATCTTCTGCTTGAGAGTAGTCCTGAAAAGGACTGATGCCATTGACAATGTCTGACGACTCGACGACTTAAACGGAAGTCATCATTAAAATAAGGTGACTCCGGCGATGACGGATTAATGTCTGTATCAGTATTGATCCATGACGGATCAATGTCAGAATCTGAGCAACTGCTAAGGTTAGGGGAGGGGTAGGTGCGCAGTTTCTCAAATACTGACATTGATCCATGATGACTACTGCTCAGGTTGTCGAGACGTCACCCAAACATTTTATGGGCTGATGTCAACCAAACGTCAGACAACATAATTAGAAAACTTATTTTCAGTGACATCCGATTAATAAAAGTACAGATAGCACTTGAACACACTTCATTTATTTTGATCTGTTACATTGGTGAAATAATTTCTTAATGTAGTTCAGTTTTTTGTTTTTGTTTCAATTCTTTTGTTGTATTTGTATTGTATACGATCGCAATCGCTGTCTTCGAAAGGAATTTAGATGTATCTGTAGAAAATAAACAGCCCTTCATGGAATCATACATACAAAAGGATCTACAAACCGAATAGCATGAACTGTTGTCGCCCTCGGAGCTTGTGTCAGCACTTCAACCTATAAACAAGGAATAAACCTACATCATTGACATAGGTATGTCAAAACCGGCAGAGTGGTAAGATTCGTTTTTAACAACATCGACCATGCTATCGAGTGAATAGCTTTGCCTAGACTGTTCTGGTATGCGAGACCCTTTATGAAGTTAGATAGGGGGATGTCAGTGGGGTGAACTAAATATGGTAAAACAACAGAAATTTGAAAGGTAAAAACGCGAAAGTCGGAAATTCTATCAATAAACGAGAGTTTTTTTTCTGCTAGTCTACCAACAACAGCATTTACGATCCCTTTCACCAAAATCAGGAAGAAAAGAGAACGAATCCTTTGAATAGTTGAATGTATCTGGCCTTCGCGTGGGAATAGCGAATAAAACACATAAAATCGCGTGGAAAACAAATAAACGTACGATGCGATGTTCACGTGATAAAAATTCCTTGGAGTTTTCTAAAGCAGGGAATAATCTAGAAATAGTTTAAAAGGGTTTGAATCTTTGGGATTCACACGGGGCTTTTGAGTCTCCTTGTTCAATATTCACAATCCTATCCATGTAGGTAGAAGAGGCAAATGCCCTGGGAACGAGATTCGTGACAATTGTGTACATGACGTAAGTGGACGATACTCACCACTCCCGTCATTTCTCCGCGGCCAGCCTCGCGATCGAGTTCTTTCTTGCCATTGCTTAACGTCACAACTGAACGAAGGCGGCCATTTAACACAATATAAATACAGTTCGATTGTTCTCCTTGCCTGAAATACAATTTACAGAATACGTGGATTCACTTTCCTTTAAAAGTACGCCAAAGAAATATCGCGGTTTGCATAAACTAACAACGCATGCACAGAATCGTGAATACGCTTGCCGACCAAAATCTAATACAAACTGAAAGAAAAAATGCAAGGAAAAATGCAAGTTTAAAAAGGGAGTTTACGCCACAAACTTCAACAGACAGCGAGAAGTCGTTCATCGCGTAACCGAGACTTAAAAAAGTAAAGCACTAGTGTCGGTCATGAGCTCTGAACACACGTGCTTAATTTAAAAAAAAAAAACCTGTTATATGCAACAAGTGTACCTGTAAACTGCTCTACCGGCTTCAACATGCATCCAGTCCAAAGCGTAGTCGATTTGTCTCAGGAAAGGAGACAGATGACCAATAAGGGAATGAGCCACGTTCAGAATGACTCTGGGCTTGTGACGAATAACGCTGAAACACAGAATTAAATCAATCAATGAATCAATCTGTCAATCAATCAGTCAATCAATCAATCAATCAATCAATCAATCAATCAATCAATCAGGAAGTCAATCAGTCTATCAATCATCAGTTAATCTATCAGTCAGTCAGTCAGTGTAACTGTATAACTGTCTGTCAACCCGTCTATCTGCGAGCAATCTTACTCATTCTCATCTCACGTTTTGAAACGTCCGTTACAACAAAACGAACAAAATTATTATTGAATTAAAAAAAGATTAGATGTTTTTCACTTTAATCGAGTCAAAGTTGGACTTTCATCCTACAAAGGACCTTTACGCCCTTTACGAGGAACGGATTCGGTGTCAAGGGGTAAGGCGCTCTCCATTCGCTATATAACATTGAGTGCCATACCGTCCATTATGCCAATCTTAGAGCGAGGCACTAATGTCGGAACATCATTTAAATGGGAGTAACTTGGCACTTTTCATTATGCTGAGGAAAAATTTCCAACAAGACATTTTTTATTGAAACGACTCGGTGCCCAATAAATACTATCCAGCAAATCTCACTGAAAATTGTACTGTTTAAAATATAAGTGCTGCACTCTTGGATAAAAGTGTGAGGGCGTAATTTCAGATAAGATTCAAACCATGAATTTTGAGATTGAAATCCCAATGTGTCATCACTCATTCAAAAGCCATTGAGCAACTTTCTCAGAAATTTATTGATGTATTTTAAGCAACACGTTCTCGCGTAAATGTGGGAAGGAAACGCTGGAATATAATCTTTAAAATGGAAAACATATGAAACTAAGTTTTCTTCAAAGGAAAGATTCCAAATATGAATTTTGAGAATAAAACCTCAAAGCAAAACCCTTTCTTTAGGAGCCACTTAGCACGTCAAACTCGCATCTTGTTAGCTTTATCGAGTGATCTGTTCTTGTTAAATAAAAAACGAAACACTCGTGTATTTCCATTCGAAAGGAAGAAATATGACACAGTATGTTCTGTTCAGGAAGAAATATGGCTACCTGTGAATTTTCGGAGAGCAAAACCCCAGCGTGTGACCAGTTAAGCAGATGTTAATGGGCCCTTTTTTTCACTGTGACGTCTTTATATGGAAATCATGATCGAGTTTTTTTTTTTTTATACTTAACCGAAAAACACCCACGCCAACGCCAGTTTTAAAGAGTTCATTGAGCGAAAACCGCCAACAAGACGCAACTAAATGAGTTCTGTGAGGACGAAATTCTGCATCGTTTTATAGATGGAAGGTATCAGCTGGAACCCTGTTTGCCTTTCATGTTTGCAGGGAAAGATATTTTAAGTCAGGCTAAAGACTGGGCAGTTTAAGCGTTCAAGACGGTTTATTCGAACCGTGTTAATCAAAGAAAACAGAAAGCGCTGAGAGAAAAGGGTGTCATTTCCACAGTCAGGCGCTCAATTCCTCGACTTGGCAGGTGGTCTCGCGTTAACTGAAACATCGACCAGTCTAAAATGAAGTTGGATCAATAGAAGATGGCGAATCCCTGTTTTGGAACAGAACTAAAGTTTTCTACATCGATTACTCTGGCTTCATTATACGGCGTGGTAGCGCTACCCGCCATCCTTGGAAACGTAGTGTTTCTTTGGGTTATCTACAAAGCTCGCACTATCAGAACTTTTTCCAACCTTCTACTGAGCTCGTTAGCAACGGCGGATCTTTTAGTGGGGCTACTCATTGATCCACTGTGGATCGCAAGGTGCGTCTTACCACGGCGTCCGTATCATAATCCGTTTAAAATCGCCATCGACTCGCTATGGATTCAAACGAGTGTAACCACAACATTTAGCTTGTGTATTGTGAGCTTGGACAGGTACATCGCAGTACGGTCGGCTCTTCTGTACAATCAGATCGTCACAACAAGAAGATGCTGCATGGCGGTAGTATTTGTATGGCTGGCATCTCTGGCGTTTGGACTTTCAAGGATCTTTGTTACAAACCCTGCAAATTTGCCGGCACTATGGATGTGTGTGACGGTAGTGACAATTCTTATCCCGATGGTTTTAATCATTTTTTGCTACTACCGGATTTTGGATGTTGCCAAAAAAAAATATGTAATAATTGCGAAGCACAACGTCCAGCGAGGCGTAGAGCTCGTCATCGAGGGAGTTCGGAACCGAAAGACAGCTACCACGGTAGGCTTTGTTGTAGCGTTGTTTATCATCTCGTGGCTACCAAGTCTAGTTACGTCCTTTATCCATTTGACAACGAGTGATCATTGCTTGAAGCGACAAATGCGTTCAGTGTGGCTATGGGTCGAGCTAATAGCGTTCTCTTCATCCGGAATAAATCCATGGTTATATTCACTACGAAACGACGAATTCAGGAAGGGAATGAAACGCGCTTTCGCAACTAAACGAATTTCTTTACGAAAAAAAAATGCGAAAAGAGTGGACGTGAAGTAGAAACCAGCCATTTCCTCGTTTAAAATCTTATTTGCTGCATTTTTTCTTAACCGGGATATGTATCATAAAAGCTTATTTTTCAAGTAAAATTTAACTAGCTTACAAGATAACTCATTTATTTCACTAAATCTTAGTTTCTGTCTTCAGACCTCATCTTATTTTAACTTCTGTAAGCAAAAAATACACAACAAATATATTTTGTATCATAAATGGTAAGAGCGTCTACGCTATAATGACGCATCCTAATCAAATTATTCTACAGCTTCGACGAGATTATCTTTCATTTTAAAATTCAGTCCGGTTAGTGATTGAAAGATATGCTGATTACAACCGTTCGGACAAAACCCTGCTATAAATATCACAAATGCTTTATCAAGTAATGCTGAAATCAATGGTGGGGCCTTTTTTTTTGTCTATTTTCTGAGCACGTCTTTGACAACTTGCGGACATCGGCTCTTAGAATTAGCAAACATTTACCTAATGGCGGTGGTCATTCGACTAAAGTGTTAAAACACCAGACATGGATCTGACGTTGATGTTTTTAAACAGTCAGGTAGAATGACCGGAGGTCCACAGACGAATGAGTCGTTAAGACGACCTTGAATGGCACGTACGAAGCAAAAAGAAAAAAAAAAAAAAAAAAAAAAAACCGCGATGAGAAAAACAGAGACGGGCAAACTCTTTTTCTTGGGAACTCTTTGCCAATAACGTTTGTTCAAAATGCTCATAACGTTTTTTTTAAAAGTCACTACTGAGCGGCACTTTAATCTGCGCTACCGAAAGCTTGGGGCGAGAAATCAATCAGATGTTTCCGTGTCGGAAGTACTGATTCCGATTCCTTGTTGGCAAATAATAAAACATAACATTCTGAATTTGATTATTAACCAGCGATACACAATCGGTGATAAATCTTGGCTCATGGAGCGCCTGACCTCGTCACACGATAAAGAAGAAGAAAATAAATGAATAGGTTTATGAAGTGAACCCCGCCGCTGACAAAAAGACCCATGGGCATCTCAAAAACTCATGCAACCTCATATCACACATCGCGAAATCATTATCACTGTCCAATAACTGGCTTCGGTAATCAGGCTGAGATTACTCAGTGACTTGATCATGTTCAATCTGTCTGTTAAAATTTTTTCTCATATTTTACTGATTTTAGTTTGATGATAAGTAAATAGAATCACGAAAGAAATGAGCCAGAGAGTAAAGGAAACCAAGAGTTATTGGGTAGGGTGGAAGTAGTCAGCTGTTCTCCCCACCCCCGAAAAGCTTGAACGTTGTACTCTGAAAGAACCGTGAGAGAATTGGATACGAGTGTCGAGGCAAACAGCAAAGGAGTGAGGTGGAAGTATCAATCTGTACCCAATTCCTTACCTCGAAAACACCTAGACATCATTTGGAGCTGAGATAAAATGGACACTAAAGTCAAAAGTTTCCAACCAAGTCATTCTTGTTACTTACATGTAAAAGTTGGCCTTGCTGATTATAACCACGTGACATTGCTTGGTTGCCTTGACATTGAAGAAGGAAGGTTCTCCAGTGACAACTGCCAAGACGCCAACAAACTCACCGGGGAGGGCCGTGTACAGGTGGTACTGAGAATAAAATTTAAGACCAAAAGCAAATAAAATGTATGGAATGTATGGAAGATAATTCTCTTTCTTCTTTTTTTGAGAAACACTCACCTAGATGGAATCAGGGACAGCCCCTTGATAATTTTGCTGTATTCTTAGGCAAAAAACTTTACTCTCACAATGTCTTTATCCACCGGGAGTACAAATTGGTAACACCAAACTTAGAGGAAAACAGACGAATGCATTGGGGGGGGGGGGGGACGCTTATACCTTAGACTATGTAGATCACTAACGCAAAAGGCGATAGGTACAAACAACCATACCCACAACAGACTGAACATGTTAATTACCTCTTGGTCGCCACTGAGACTCTTCTGTGTTACTTCCAAGGAGTTGGTCACCACGAAATACAAACTGCAATCCTGTCGGTGAGAAAAGCGGGCCTTGTTGGAATTCTATCGGACAATTTTCAACGAAGAAACTAAAGTAAAATAAAAAGAGGGGTTTCAGACAGAAGGAACAAAATTAAATTTCACTCACCACGTCCCCTTGTTTGATAAGGACCGTTCCAGAAGGAATACATGCAACTGAAAGAAGTCCTTCCAGTAGTGAGGAGTCCTGAAAAAACCAACAAAAAAATTCAATACTCAGCTAGTAACACATGCATGCCTGGTTGAATATCGTGCGGATGAAGTTAAAAGTGATGAGCCAATGACGCAGGTCAGTATTTTTCATTTATTAGCAAACTTCCAGGAGGTAAAATAATATCGAAAATTGTGGCTGCCATGTTGGATGAATGCGAGTTGGGGAAAAACATTCCACCCCACCACCCCTCCCCGAAGGTGGTCCACGGGCCGAGGAACGGCCGCGACAACACATCAATAACGTCGCACTTCATAATTTTACACGACAACTATTGTATTCCCCTGATGGCAATTTTCGTACCGGTAAATCAAGACTTTTAGCGATCTCGCTTGCCGCTGTCTTCATCATTTTATCTTCTTCTTCAGGGTCCATAGTGAGAAACTGTTTGGACAGGTCCTCAGTTACTGGAGTTGCAGGGAAGTCAAAACGACCCTCCAAGGAGGAAGAGGGGCTGCCTTCTGTGTCGCTGGCCTCCAAGTCGAACATGGCTGTGCGGCTGGGTGACTCTGGAAAACCAGTTAAGCGCGCACGGCCAAGGGCCGCGTCAAAATCAGAAAGGTCTGCAAGCGAGAAGAAACGGTTTAGCATCTCTCGGTAGGCAGGTAATCCTGCTATGGGAATAGGCCTAGGACTTTTTTAAGCAAATTGGGTGTAACAATATTGGTCACGTTTTGTTCAATTTGAGGGGTAGAATTTAATATAGGAGTTAATAAGCTCATATTATTCCACTTATTTTAACCATTGGGACTTCATGCATGACATTAGGGCGACAGCACCTTGCAAAACTAAACCTTATTTCATTCATTTTTCTTATAATTCCTACATTAACCCTACACAACAAAAGCAAACATTTTCGTTCCAGTACCAAGCGGCTGAATACTGAAAGTCAATTTTTACCGTTTGCCGTAAAAGTAAGGATTTGAAAATTTCTTTATAGACCGGTAGCCGAACCTGGAGACAAAAAAGCCGTCCAAAAACACAGACCGACGATCAGACAAAGAGAGAGAAAGGGGACTCTCTCCTTTCTCAGTCTTGGTCTGAGACGAATTCAGGAAAACGTGATCTACAGCACTCACCTGAATCGCTTCCAAAACCCAACATGGTTTCCAGGGTGGCAGCTGACTTACAGCGTCCAATTTGTTTGTCAACTTTTCGCTCGTGCTCAGGCTCCGTGAAGCTAACACTCCTGTGTAACGGCACTTTCTTCACTGGGATTGGCTTACTGTTTTCCTTTCCCAAGATTCCCCGTGGCTCTGTTGAAGTCGAACACGACACAAAACATTGACGTTTCAAGTAAAGAAACTTAGGAACGGTACCGGAAGGAAAACCTTCACTTACACAAACGATTTCGGATGAACATGAAATTTAAAGCAGAAGTTAGTATTATTATTAAACCCCCGAAGGCGCCATGCTTGACGTAGAGTAATATCGAAGAGTTTCAAGTTTATTTCGTCTTCCCGTTCACATCCACAATACTGACTAGGCAAATTTATGCGTTGTTGTTACTTCTGCATGGTTTTTAAATACAGCCTTCGACTAACTTGGGCCGTGAACAAAGCTGACACTTCAGACAAAACATAAAGTAAAACGGACTTCTGAGCTAAGCACCTTTATTCTCCTTCTCCTTAGGATTACCGACGGCTGAATCAGGTGTCGTTGTTTTACTACTTGCAGCGCTGCTCGCACCAGAGTCAACTTCTAGAGGAATCTTCTTGGTCGTCTTCGTTTGATTCTCTTTCCCCGCAGGAGTTTCTGTCATCTTTCCTTTCACTGGACTTGATGTGATTCCATAAATTGACGGCCTCCGTCGCGACGCTGGGCTCTGAACAAATGTACACAAAATCAATTTGTTGAATAATATTTCCACCACACGTTTAGAATTGATTTTTGTCGTCGACCGCACCAATCAGCCAGCTCAGGGAACTTAAATGGGTCCGGTGAAAGTTCGAAAACAGAAATGGCTCTCTGGCCGACCATTCACCCTTAAATTCCCAGAAGTGATTCGCATGTAACTTCTCCTCATAACATCCATGCATAATCCAGCAAACAGGTAATGAGAATACACAAACTAATCAGATAGAGATTGTTATCTTGATCTGACACCAAATTCTCGTAGCTAATTCACAAGGAAATGTGTGGCAGCCAAAGGGAAGAATTATCAGTCAGATCTTTGGAGTGAAATTGTTCAAGGAAGAAAAAATCGTCGACTTGAGGAAAATTGCACGCAGTCGGTGTTTCGAGTGTTGGTAAAATCACAGACAATACAAACGCAGGTGAAAATCATAAACATAAACATATGTAGCCCAAGAACTATTCAATGAAATTCAAGGTTAGGACTATATTTTGTCCCTGTAACAGAATTTTTGGTAAAAAGCGAAGATGTCACAAAAAGCCTGTAAGTAATTTGTCGTCGCAAAAGATTTCTTAGTTTATCGCGAACTTTCAGTGAAGGTTAGTACATGTACACTTACACTCGCAATGAGCTCGTAGCTAAGTCCCAGGAAGTTGTGCAGCGCCATGAATGTAACTTGCTGAAGACGAAGCATAATAATCTGAAAAAAAGAAATAGATTTCAGCCGTGACATTCCAGTTTAAACGCAGAACAGGCAAATTGGTCTAACGATTGACGCTCCTTTGAAACTTTACACACGCTAACAAAAATACCCTGTAAAGGTGATACGTTTCTTTAGTAAAATCTAGGGAACATGAAAACCATTTTTAATATTCCCTTGTTTAATAAAACAGGAACCGATAACACTAAAAATAATTACATAATTTGCGGAGAGGCGACACACAAGGTTTACGCAAATAGGCTGGAATTTAAACCTTCTTCCTTTAAACGTTTCCATGCTATTTAAGCAGAACACTTAAGTTCTGATTTGTTTTTCTGCTGAAACATTTTTGCCATTTATCTTGAAACTTTGGCAGTGGGAATTAGCATGAGAGTTTGACAGACCTGCACAACTCTGACCAAGGAATCTGGATGCTGCTCAAACACTGTTTGAAAAGCCTTGCCCGGCAACCTGGAAAATACATTCAGGAAATTAAAAAGAGAAAATCATTAAACTAAAATTGATGCACAATAAATCAAAAAAGCTTCATGAAACTGTGCTAGGGTTGAGACATAATATTGGTGCAAAACAGATGACCCACGCATGACTGCAATGATTGTCTCAACAGGACGGCTGGAAAAAATATACCACAGTCTTAACGGTAAGCGCCAAAGCGTACTATAAGGGCACAACGAATGGCGAAAAGTGAATGCTTGAAAGGGGAGTGAACATTTAATTTCGGCGTCGCAACCTTGAGGATGAATCCCTTTGAGAAACAGAAGTGCCAAATATCTATCCCATTGTAAGACTAGCATTTGCCGCACTGACAAGGGGAAATATTTGTATGTAAACGTAATGGTTAAAAAGTAGTCACCTAAGAACATGAGTATCCACAACTGCCCGACAGCATATTTGGGGAAGGGTCATATGATGACCCTATAAGAGACGAATAAAAACAGTTAGTTTTTTTTAAAGTTTTAGTCTTTTGACCCTTTAACCTCTCAAAGTGACTAACATCTGATTTCTCTTTATAATATCACTCCTGAATCGAACATTAAGGCTTCAAGGATAACGGAAACGATCGCCAACTGAAGAAGTTCTTGATTGCTAAACAAATTCTCCTCGTAAGCACCCTAAGAAATGTATGGAAAACAGTATGGAGAATATGCATACTGATATTAGGATGTAAAGGATTAATTTCTAGGCAGATCTTTCACATCAACAAGGCCATTCTTTTTGCATGGAATGATACATGAAGTAGATCTCACGTTACGTCTTATCACTTCATAAAGCCTCCACAACAGATCACGACTCTCTGCAAATACCAATAGATCAGATCACGACTACCTACATACATCAAAAGATCACGATTACCCACATATACCAACAGATCACGGTTACGCAAACGCACACAATGTACTGCTGTGGGAACACAGCCACACAAAACTTGGTTATGGTGAAAAATACCAACAAAAAAACCTTATATATTCCTGAAATGTCCCTTTCAATTTCTAATAGGAATGAGTGAGGTGGGGGGGGGGGGGGTAAGTTTCTAAAAAAACTGTGATGCTGTGTGGATGGGAGGTTGGAGCTCTGACGAAGTGCTTACGCTCGAAACCTCTGCCTTGGTTTCATCAACTCAGTTGATGAAACCGCATTATCTTGTAATTTTTATTAAGTCAAAAACGACACAATCCCGTGACCGAAGACTTACCGTAAGAACGTCCAGTATAGTGAGCACGCTGTATATGCTCTCTCCAGTGAGAACTTCCTTCATGCACACCTCCGTGCCATCCTGTTAACGTAAAAACACAGCATACGAGACGCAAGTTGACGATCAGTTAAAATTACTTTAGCAGGTGTGGTAACCCATCGGGGATCATCTTTTGATATATTGGTCGATATATCTGTCGATAGTCGGTCGATTCATCAGTCGATAGTCGGTCGATAAATCGGTCGATAGTCAGCCAATGGTCGAGTAACAGTTGGATGACGGTCGAACAACAGTCCGTTAATGGTCAACCGACACTTGATAGATAGTCGATCCATATTTCGGTGTCGCGATAGTCCACCGACAACTTCACCTGGACATCAACCGATTACTGGTCGAGTAGAGGTGTTCAAAAAAAGCATGGACTGTTGTAAGTTCCCTCAACAATGGAAGGAGTCATTAGTTACACCTGTTTTTAAGAAAGGGAACAGGCTGGATCCTAACAATTACCGACCTATATCCTTGCTTAGTACACCAGGAAAGCTTCTTGAGAAGGTAGTGTGTGACTCACTTGATGATCACATGTTATCCAATGGCATTCTCACAGATAGACAATGGGGATTTAGGAGGGGCTATTCAACGGAGAGCCTCCTCCTTCATCTCACTGAGTCCTGGGGGAGTGCCCTGGATAGAGGCCATAAGGTTGGAGTCTTATTCATTGATTTCCGCAAAGCTTTTGATTGTGTCAACCACAGTATTCTTACTGAGAAACTCAAGGCTGTTGGCTTGGCAGGTGATATGTGGAAATGGATCAATGACTATCTCTCCAACCGTGTACAAGGGACTAGTGTAAGTGGGTCTAGATCTGATAGAATCCCCATTAGAGCTGGGGTCCCTCAGGGATCCTTACTAGGACCAAGATTGTTTGCATCTTATGTTAATGACCTCCCTGAATCTATTACCAGTGGAGAAGTCTATATGTATGCTGATGACACAACAATATATGTAGTAGGGAATACTGTTGATGAAATAACAACAGGGTTACAGGCTGTTTTGGACCAGGTTAATTCCTGGTGTCTTAGTAACAGATTGATTCTACATGAAGGTAAATCCGAGGCAATGGTCTTAAGTACTACCCCCTTCATAGGTCCTTTGAAACAGCTGAAGTGGGGTATGGACACCATTCGGTATGTGTCCTCCACCAATTGCCTTGGGGTTACAATTGATGATAAACTCTCTTGGTCTCAGCATGTTGCATTGGCTAGATCTGCATTTAATGCCAAAGTTAAAATGTTGAGACGTATAAATTTCCTATGTACATCTATCTTGGAGACTTTTTACTATAGGATAGTTATACCAAGTGTTCTATATGGAATTGCAATTTGGGGGTCTGGATCCAAGCTTAAAGATCTAGAAATGATTCACATCAGGGCTGCCAGGCTAATTCATAAGATACCAAATAGTTTTGGGGATAATGATGTACTTTCTAAGGTTGGCTGGATGCCTTTAGAGTATTTTTATAAGCTACGTATCTTAACTATTACATATAATGCTTATTATAATTTAGGGTTGCGGGAAATTAATTGTTTGGTGACCAAGAACTCTAACAGTTATAACCTAAGGAAATCCCTGAATGTTGTACTTAATAGGCCCAAAACCGAATTGGGTCGTAGGTCCTTTGCTCATAGATCTGCAGTAGCATGGAATGCACTTCCCGATAATGTTAAAGATTCTCCAAATTTATCTATTTTTAAATATAACTTAAAACAATCCAAGCAAACTGTTATGAATATTAATTTTGAAAAGGGAGGTAATGTTATACAAAACATGAAACCAAATTTTCACTATTACTAAAACTTTATGGTTTACTTGATTTATTCAACTTATAAATTTTATCATATCTGTATTTTATATAATTATAGACTAATTAGTTTAGGCAGGTCCACATCAGCTGTAAAGTTGCGCAAATTTTAACCTGCGTTATCAAATAAAGTTATGTATGTATGTATGTATGTATGTATGAGTGTCATTCGACAATCGATCGTCTTGGGGCTCACTGTCTGCCGATAAACGACCGATTATCGTCCGATGTACCGATTGGCGGATGTACATGTTGTAACAACTAAATCCACTATATCGACTGAGGCTGCCTGATACACACGATACTCTTCATTTCTATCCCATCATCTTATAACGGCCTGATTTACAAACACATGCTTGACTGTGTAAGTCATATTTTGAGACATTTTTGCAGGTTCAGAGCCACACCAGGAGCTGGGTCTGGTGACTAATTTCGGCATATGACTTAACCTGTTTTATCTTTAGCACTCACCTTTTCAATTATAGAGACAGAGAGCTTTCCACTCTGGACTACGTATATGCTATCATCATGCTGAAAAAAATCATTTCTTCTTCACTATTTCAAGATCATGTCTCACAGTTACATACTTATATGGTAACCCTTTCACTTCCATTAGTGACCAAGACAGAATTTCTCCTTACAATATTAATACCATATCAAGCAGACAAGTGATGAGAATAAAGAAAAATATCCATTAGTTGATTATTAGTTGATCCAATACCAAATTTTCAGAATCAACATCATAAGAATTGTATGACAGACAGCAAAGAGAAAGACTAACAAGATCTTTGGGAGTGAAAAGGTTAAATTTTGATGCAGGAGGCAAGTGCACAAAATGATTTGAGCTTTGTCATTCAATGAACCTTCTTCAATATGACACAAAAAACATTTTTTCCCCAAGGTGCAATGCACCTCTTTGCTAAGTTAATGCACCTTGGTGTGAGAATGCAAGGTCACGTTCTATAAAAGAAACCTGGCAAAATTCTACGAAAATGGACTGGTTCTTTATTCATCACAAATGGCAAACCCCTCAGTCCAATGGCAAACCCCTCAGTCCAATGGCAAACCCCTCAGTCCAATGGCAAACCCCTCAGTCCAATGGCAAACCCCTCTGTGATGCTAGATTGTGGGGCTATTTCATGTACACTATGCATCACTTATAATAGAGAAGTTGGGGTGAATCAGCAGACTAGACTAACTATAACTTTTGTATGTAGACTTGCAATTTCCAATACTTATGAATTGTCTTACCTGCCCTGGTTTAAATAGAAGAGCATTGGCTGGAACCAACTTAGTCTGAATGTATTTGCACAGCTCAAAGAAAAGGGGCTTCTCAAAATGACCAAATACCCTTTAAGACAGCAAAAACAAGAAAGTGGAAAATTTTCACTGAGTATAATTTTGGAAATACAAATTTTGGAAACTCAAATGAGACCTGAAAGTAGAATTAGAACTTTTAAGTTGAACAGATTTTTATCCCTAATTTCTAGCTAAAGTTCAGGACTCATTTGAACTCCCAAATTTGAGAGACATTGAAGCCCTTCCAATTGCTATGAGGTTTGTAAATGTAGTTGTCAAAGTGTGTGCTGCATGTGTTTTCATTTAATTGCAACACACCAAGTCAGTCTTTTCAGCAATAATGTAAGCTTTAAATTAAACTCCATTATTCTCTTCCCTTCTAGAAAGCACATACATTGTGGATGACAACAACTTAACTGTAAGCAAGATTATGGCAAAGCTGTAACTCAATTCCTCTTCCATATACCTTCAGTAGGCTATTAAAGATTCTCAACTCAAGCGAAACAATCTTTCGTTATTGCAAAAAGGTTCCTTAGAAACCTTGGACCTAAACATTGAGGGAATAGAAGGTTTAGGATGGTAGAATTTACCTTACACTCTTCAGCATGTACACAACCTCTGGGGGAAGACGAGGTTCATTGATATCAACCTACATGTAAAAACAACAAAAAAGTAATCAAAAATACACATGAACACCCTTCAGGTTTTACACATACTTGCTCACAGACTATAGCTACATGATGAAGACTAACTCCTACAACCAGTAACATTCCATTGCACATACACATTCTGTATACATTCTGTCACATAGGAAGGCAATTCATCAATTTTAGAAATCCTGATTTGAAGGTTTTCAAAAAAAGGGGTTCTCAGGTCTCACCTCAGCCAAGTCAGCTTCCAGGAATGCTGCTGGTGGCTGTTTAAGTTGCCTTCCAGGCTCATTATTGTCAAACCTTAAAAGCCTGAAAATGAAATGGGAGACTAAGCAGGAATACTACCCATGCCTCACGCATACATACAAAGTTCCTATTGCATGTATTTTTTCTTCAAAACATTTATCATAAACTTTTTGAGAAAACTTTTCATAACCTGACCTAACATACTACTTCATGGCACAAATGCAATGTTCAGAGCTACAGAACACAACTTAGATTTAAATTGCTTTAATTTATGTAGATTTAAATTGTTTGTTTGCAGTGAAAACAAAAAAAAAACTGTCATTATTTTATGAGATCCTTTCACCTAAATTCAGCACCATAAAAGAAGAGATTAGACATCGTTTTCAAGAAAATGTAAGTATAAACTTTTCAAAGAACAAGATGTAAAGCAAATTTTAACAGACTGAAAAAAATTATGTATAACTCAATGAAAATCACAGAGTTAAAGGAACAGTAACGCTTATATCACATTGCAGGATGAATATAATACCATAAATCTCCAGGTAATACCGACCCAATCATTTGATTATCACAAGAAAAAACACACTGTACCAGCTCAGTCCACTACACTCCATGTGTTTTAGATATTGTCTTAAAATGATTTAAATACCAGTCGGTTGATTAGTCATATTGATTAAAGTAATATTTTAAGGATAATGTACAGTAAGTACACAGTATATGATGTTATTCCATAAATGAAGAGTAGTACAACTTATTCATTTTAAAAATTAAATGTCTGTTAGGAATTTTTGCAAGAGACAGCCTCAGAGCAGGGTTATCCTTCATTAGCCCTAAATTCATTTTCAGCTCTGAAGAGAGCAGCTGCCTCTTAAAACTAAATATAAGGTAAATGCTTAAAAGATAAAGCCACAACTAAAGTATTGTTACTAAAAAACTGTTCCCTCCTTACCTAAAGGGCCATGTAACACATGTTTCAAATACATTAAAGTCCAAGCAAGTACTAAAGAGATCCCAGGTGAAATCTGGAATTGATTCCATGGACTCACAGACACAGCTAGATTTGCCACTTTTCTACATGACTGGTAGTCTAATTTTCAAAGGTGCAAACACAACTGTCTATAGTAGTAACCAGAATGCTGTTTCAATGCAGCACTGCAAATGTCCTTGATTTCAAATTACAAAGGTTGCAAAATAGCAACCAAAGATTTGTTTCTGAAACCCAGATTCAGCATGTAAGGAAATCTTTGAGCAAGTAAGCTTGTGGACAGCTGGTTGATGGGTGATCAATAATTAATTGCATTAAGCTCCAACATTTTGCACATAAAGGCAAGTTTACACAATACAGCAGGTGCTACATTCTCAACAACTGGTAAAAGGCTGCTAATATTCTTGAAACACCATAATAACCCCACCCCTAACAACCAGCAGTTGGAATATATAAATCTAGTTGTCAAGTGCATCCAAAAAAGAACTAGTTAAACACATCCTATAAAATTTTCATCTAATTAGGTTTTGCAGTAAAAGTTTAGTTTTCTCAGGTAACATGGGAACTGAAAAATAATTTTGAGAAAAAGTTCATGGGATTTCTCATCAGACTGACATTAAGAGTAACATGTGTGTTTTAGCTGCCCATTCATAAAATTCATTAATTATTATATCTTGAAGCAGCAAACACCTATAAGGGAACACTGTTCTGAGCAGAACAACTGAAAGAACAGGGCCTAATTAAATATGCCATTACAAGTGATCACCTTTCTTTAATATAAATATAAAGGGAAAATTTGGGAATGTTGTCCATCCTCACTCATGCAATAAGATGTTGTTTTTCTTGTTCTTAATTTGTTTCCTCCATTAAGTTAAAAACAAACAAATCAATAAAATTAACAGAGCTGATAACTTTGCTCCAATACAGCATAGGAATGGTTATTGAATCACATTCACTTTGAAAAAAAAAATGTGTTGGTGACTCGTTAAAAAAGGGAGACTCTGACAAGAGTTAAGTGATACACAAAACTTACACCTGAAACATCATGCACTGTATCTCTGAATTCAAGATATATTAAATTTTTTTCACAAGTAGTCCTTAACCTTCCTACAGCTAGACAACACCATATCATTTTAAAAAGTTAGGATGAGCTTCAGATATGGTTAGATTATATTTCAATATTTATTTGTTGGTGGAAAAATTATAAACCAAATTAACCGATTTTACTCTTAGGCAACCCTTAGAAATAAATTGCTCTTCTTGAGGGGTGCAAACATCCTCCCTTTCCCTTTCCACACCTCCTTCAGTAGTCATAAGAACTGATTAAGGGTGTAACTAGAAAAGGTTCCTATCAAATGAACCAAATAGGATCAAAAAAGGAAAAGAGAAAATTCATAATCACTGCACTGGTCAGAAAATTTTATATTGAGCATGCAAGTTAAGGGGTCTTTCTCTCAACAGGTCAGACTGGGAATAATATGATCATTAGACCAATACTTGTATTATATACACTGTAGATAAAAGGTGTTGAGTGAAAATAAAAATAATTACTTAAATTATAACTTCTGTTCTTACTCTTTTCCAAAGTTAAACATGACTTTTTGTCTTTTTCTTATAGTCCTTCTATATCCACCATCTTGTGGTTGTGAGAGCTGTTTCACCTGTTATAAAAACAAATCAACATAATCACACACTGTAATATTAACTCCTTATAGAAATACAGTATCTTGATTGAACAACAACTTTTACCTGGGATCTCTATCCAGTCTCCACAGTGTAACTTACATGTAATGGATAAACAGGGTAACTTTCTAAAGAAACTGTGGTGCTACATCAACGAGAGAGTATAACAGGGTAATTTAATATTATCAACTAAGTTGATAACGTAACTTGGCCACTGTATGCCCTGAAAAAGGGCTAACTCTTGAATTATAAAATAATTCAAATAGTACGTGTGCTCTGAGTGGCCATAAAACCATTTTACATGAGTGTATCTAAACACGGTTTTCATACGAATCTTCTCGCGGAGTTCTCCCTACTATTTATTAAGCAGTAACTCAGTTTCTTTAAGTTTGTTTTGAGTACAGTAATGGAAGAAGAAGATTTTCCTAATTTTTCTTTGGAGTTTAATTTTCCCAGTATTTAAGAAACAGCCGAAAAGCCAAATGAACAACAACAACAAGCTCGTCGCTTTCCCTCGTTGCAAGAAGAGGCTCTTTCATTAGTTATTTTATAAAAGAAATGTAAAATGGTTTCTGTGTTTACATAGCCTGATGTAAACACTTGGGAGGTTGGGAGAACACTTGATAAGCTGAAAACCACTCCGCTTCATGTTGTGGTTTCCTACGCTTATCTCATGTTCTCCCAACCTCCCGCGTGTTTACATCAGGCTATGTAAACACGGAAACCATTTTACATTTCTTCAGTGTCAGCTTTAAAACTCTTTTGGGTGGCCAATTTACATTTTCAATTCAGTTGATAATACTTAATTACCCTGTTTTACATGGATTGGGATAAGGAAGCGCAAACAGGTATGAGAATGTAAAAACCTATTTAAGAGAGAATTTAGGAAGCCTTTAACCCTACTATCAGGTCTTCTTCATACATTTCCTTTAGGACTGACAATGAAAATTTGTTAAACAATCCAAGCTTCTCTTTTATTTTCACAATTGTAATGAATGATTCAGCACTATTGCTGTATAGAGAATTAAGAAACAGATCACTCTTAGGGTTTACAGAGTTAATGAACCTTATTATTGAACCTTATGAAAATGTGAAAATCTGTGCAAATGAGAATATTATGGGCATAGTGAAATAACACTCTCTGAAATTAAACTGATCTGATCAGGACAGTGAGTCCTAAAAAATTTATTTGGTTTTGTATAAATATCATACATATTTTATCATTGATATTTTCATGATTATGAGGAAGGTAGTCAAGTTGCATCCATTAATGTTAGATAACTACTTTTTATTCCTTCTGTAAGAGCCCAGTCAAACAGCTTAATCTATCTTTGATTATCTGGAGGTCATGCTGCTTTGGAGTGTTTACTGACTGAGACAAGGCCTTGGAGACTCGTTACTTGACACATCATTGTTTCATTACTACCAAGTGGTATATTTACAGAAATGACGGCATGTATGGTACATGTAAAACCAAGTTCTTAACAGCCACATGTAATGACTATTTAGACCTGCCACTAATTCTTTCGGGAAGTTTTTATTGGAGGATGGATTTCACATCACTTTCAGTAAAATCAGGTAACTTGTATCACTACCTGACATCAACTAACATAGTAGGTTTAGAGAGCAAAATGTGCTCACTGCATGCATCCACCAATTTCTCATTCCATAAACAAAAGCACTAAAAGTGTGGGTGAAAGCGAAACCTTAAGATTTGATCGCGAAGGAAACTTAAATGTTTCTTTATCTGATATTTGTTGGTATTTGTCCTCATTAAAAGGGTATACTATACTTTCCGTCTGGTTCTCACACTGGTGCTGTACGTGCAGCCAGCCACCAAAATGAAAAAGGAGACGGCCAACGCAACTCTTAATAAAGTATTCTTAGAGAACAAAAGCTGTTTTTACCCAAACAGGCATTCCCCGGAGAGTACAAGTCAATTGATGATTTTTGTGTTAAGAGAATAACATAACATGATCAGCAAAGCCGACTGGCTCTCGAGATGGCAAACAACTAAACGAAGCCCGAGACTGCACGCTAAATAAACAACAATATAATTAATAGTGAGCCTCCATAGATGTTTTCAAGTTAATCAGTATGTTAATGATACAAGATATAGTCATCCAAACCTTGCGCAGATATTTTTTGCCGTAAAATATCATCTTATCGCGTTTGCGAAATCTCGGCTCTTGATTCATCGGAACTTCATTTGGGACTTCAACTACCAGAGAGAAAAAGGAAAAAAATAAGAGGAAGTTCGAAATCGAACAAAACTTCGAGAAAAGGTAAAAAAAAAGGCTATGTGAAGTACTCACCTCTTCTTCTATATGTCTTGATACAATAAACAGCAATGATGACTGCAGTAATAAATACAATTCCTATGACTAGATTAACCTGAAACAACAAATTTAAACACCATTACTGTGCTGATACACAATTATAATATCTAATAAACGCTTTAACTGACCGAAACATCGGGAAATAGTTGAATTTCACGAAACTTTTCAACCATGGAGGTAGTCGCCATCCTTAGTGAATCCATAGTACAGTAAGGTAATGTTTACTGCCATGACATTAACCGCTGGCTTTTTTGCGTTCGCGGGCTTATATGCTACTTGCCACGTTGTGTATGCGCGGTCTGAACGCGGCATATGCGCGTGGTTGACTTCTTTGAAAGTAAGCAGACAATTATGAATTTAAAACATAATTCTTTTCTTTTTCTGACATATCTTACGTGAAGTGCCCTAACACGTATTTTCTCGGTAAATGTTCAGTCGTTTCACAACTAGGAGAAAATATAATCTGTTTTCATTCATCGCAAATAAGTATCACACTGTGTGATAGGCAGTTGCCTATGATTTCTAAGGATATAGACACACGGCTGACGACGATTTTTTTGCCCAATATGGCCCAGAGTTTGGAAAATTTCCGTAAAATTAGCGAATTTTTAATTTTTTTCCTCATAAACTAGCAGGTATATTCTATTTCCCGTGTGTCTCTTCGGTTACAAATCACGGTGGGCGCGGCGTCAAAATATTGTAAAGAGGATAAGTGATTCACTTGCCAACGGCATGAGTACCACTTTTGAGTCTCTCGTTTTTCTATCAGCATTTTGACGTCTTCTGCGACCTAAAACTGGACAGAAATGCTGAAAAATGGAATCCGCCAGCTAATTATACAATGAAAAATCGAACTGATGACGTAAACTTAATATATTATGACGCCTTTGTAAAAAGCGATAACTATGCGCAAAGATTAATTGCAGTGAGACCATGCCGCTAGTACAAAAGCCAGGACATAAACTCTAATTCCTTCCGCTTTCACCAAAATGACGGCGTTGCTTAATCCCCCCGGACGTTTCGTTGCCCAGCAGCGGAAAAAGGTCCACGATTCTTCGGCGCATATCTATCCTAGTAGCAGAAAAAGTGATGATATGAACAGCGCAATCACGTCTTACGTTATCGACTTCGCCAAAAAAGAAGGAAAACCATCGCTGCCCAGACCTTGTTCTGCCACAAGAAGAAACCGGCCACATCCATCTCAGGTTTGTTGACCAATTTAATAATCACTTTTTGTTAAAACCATGGAACTGAATCACAAACAGACGTAATAGGAAACTTTCACCCCTCCGGTGGCAGTAAAAAAGAAAATTGAATTACCTTCCCAGTATACGTGTGCTATTCTTTATCCATAACGACTATAAGGCAGGAATTTTAATTCATCCTAAAACCTTGGTTAGATACCTGAGTATTTTTTTTAATGAATGCTTCTCAGCGGCAAACCAAAAACATTTCCAAATTTCCAATGAAATCTTGAGATACACAAAACTAAATATCATCATTGAGGAGGGCGTTATACTCAGTTTTTGGCAGAACTCTGAAAGCCTTACGTCGAAAAAGTGGTGGGAATATTTTCGTATGAAAACTTAATAAAAACAGATACACTTTCCAATACTCTACTATCATTTATAATAAAGTTCGGATATAGCGCGCGCTGTCATTGGTTGAAACAGCGTGCTCTATCAGAGTACAGAACATAGAGCAGGGCAACTAAAGCTGTAACGCCATATGCCAAATTATGTGCTATGTCCAACTATGTTCCGGACTTCTCTCTAGCTTTTTTTCACTCACTGAAAGTGAAATTTTGGAACAAGGAAGCCGGGAAATAGCAAGAGAAGAACCAAACAACGGTTTACAAACAAGCGCCGTAATTGATGTTATTTTATCGTGAAATCTGAAATGGACAGTTCGAGTTTTGAAGGTTTTCACACTCAGTTAGATTGCAAGCTTACTTACGGTTATAAAAATCAAACACAGCTAACACTCGTGTAATATATAATACTTAAAAAACAACTGAAACAGAACAAAACAGGAATAATGAAAAAGATAGCCAGACCGGGCATAACTGTTTAAGTTCATACTAATCATAACGGTGTCAGAGCGACTGCAATCGTGCTGAAGTTCATCTCGGATAGCTCATCATGGTCTTCTTCGGTCATCGTACTGAATCAAGCCTCAGAAATTACATCGGTCGCCCTTCCAATAAACAACTAAGAGCTTACTCTGATATCTGTTTCTCTCTACACTTCTTTCTGCGTGCTTTGCAACAGAACAGATCACAATCTATTTGTTAATTACATAGAATTTTCTCAACTGGCGCATTCCTTCAAGACCACTAACGGGCCCTAAAACTTCGGACGCAGACGAAGCTTTCCTGAATTTGTCAGTCTTGGAAACCAAGGAACGATTTTACGACGACTATGTTGGCAGTTTTGGTAAGTGTGCTTCTCTTTTGGATGAAAGATTAAAACGCGTTCTCTGCAGTAGTTTAACAACCTTTGTAAGCTTCTGGTTGATGATCTGTTATGTTGTAGGGAAGGGGGGGGGGGGAGGAGGGGGGGATAGGGGGTCAGAGTCTCCCGCCTCCCGTAATTTTGTGCCCCTTTACCTCTCGACTCCCGCCCTTAAATATGTTGCACCCGTCTTCAGGTTATTAAAGAGGATCGGAAACCCGAGTTCAACTTTCAAGCTGTGACAAAACTTAGCATTCTTGTGCATTCTCTGGCATTCTTTTGATTGGGGGGATTATTTGGTTGAGATAAACATTATCACAGGTCAATTCTTTTAATTAAACTAAGTTTTCACTAACCTGGTTATCACAGTGTGAACATCGCTTCTGACATCTCGTTGTGCACTGATTACATCAACGTATCAGTTTCATTTTTTTTTCTCAGATTTGGAAAAGCAAGAGCTCTGTGAAGAAGTTGGGCCTATCCCTCCTTGTCGTCTACCAAGTAAGATCAGAACCTCAAAAAGGCTATTGTAATGTTGTTATAGAATTACCTCACCTTCCTACTTAAGAAGCGAAATTCGAAAAAAATCATTTCCGCAAATTTAAAAATATCACTTTAGGTTTGGTAACAACGTTTTATTTTATAGGACATAGGCTTCTTCAAAGAGCTGGCCTACAGGACAAACTAAACGAGGAACGCCGTTGCCCTCGCAGGGTGAGAGGTGTTATAATTCTAAATAAAAACATACAATTGCTGACTTTTATTTCTCATCATAAATATTAGCTTTAACTATAGAGATACTTCTGGCTGTCTGAAAAGGAATGTTTTTGTAAAAAATCCATTAAAGAAAAAAAGAGGCTAGAGTCCAAACTCAGTAGAAAGTAAGTAACTCTGAATCTTCTTAAAATTCCGAAAAAAGGGGTAACAAATTTGCGCGAACGAAAATGAAAAACAACTGACTAAACTCCGTGAAAACAAACAGCAAAAGCAAGCGAAAAATGTCCACGTCAGTTTTCCCATGCCAAGGTTAGAGTTCTTTGACGTGATTGGCTAATTAGTGAATGCAAAAGAATACAAAGGGGGAGAGAAAGAGAAAAGTTGTGATTTGAAATTGGAAAACAAGAGATTTTCGAAAGTTTTGGCTTCTGAGGCCCTTTAGTCTGAACTACTTCGACAATGGTTTTCCAGGTGGTTGGTTGAGTTAAAGCGCAGTTATTGCCGTTGGAACTCGGGTTGCTTAAGACCGCTGATTGTGTTAGGCCCTCCGACATTATCATCATTGTTGGTAGTAAAAGTCACCTTGTGAGCACATAGGCTCATCTGGCCGAAGTTTTTACCGGTTCAAGTTTCATAAAACTTGACTGTAAGCGACAAGGGATACTTTTCCTGCACCGGTATCTCAGATGTCATGCGTTAAAATCCCCCTACAGGTCTGAATTTTTTTCAGGCCTTACTTTCACTACTGCTATAGTTGTGTTCACCACTGAGAAGGTCGCTTCCATACTCACAGGGATGCTTTTCTTTCCTCCAGATGAGATTCAATCCTCTAGCATTTGTATTACTATCCTCTAGCATTTGTGTTTTCGTGGTTCCCTAGGAATCGGTTGGTACTCATGCATTGATACTCTGAACTGTGGAGTGGCACTGAAAGCGCAAAGTGTCTTGTCCAGGAACCGGACATAAATATCTCACCGGATTACAGCGCAGTAACCATAAGTCAACCACGCTTATCACAACAATAAAAATGAGAACGTAAATGCAGTCAACAACTCCTGCCTTCCATTGCCTTATCTTATAATTTTTATCGAAACCGGGGTTAACATGTGTATTATTTTCCAGCGCACGATGCGACCTCTGTGTATTTCTAAAGACGCAGGAAACGAGTATGATTCTCTAGTCTCCAGAGCACCCACAAAAGGTAAGACTTGACCAAATTAACGATGAATTATGTCTTCTTTCTTTCATTGTCAGGTGGGTGATTCTAGTGGCTAAGCAACACAAGCTGTAGGCAAAGTTATTTTTTTGGCAAAAAAAATCGATCTTTTTGAAAAGGTTAAGCTAGTGGTTCCCATATCAAATTCTCGTCCTCGTTCCTCACCATGCCAAATCCGTTCTACGCTCTTCAAGTCCAACTATGTCGCTGCTAAGTGTGATACAAACTCGCCTGAACGCTGGCTTGAGTATGAAACAGTAGAGCCTCTATTGGATATTTCTACTGAAAAGAGTATCAATATCGATCAAGAATATCAGTTGATATTGTCTTGACGTTTCATGTTATACCACTCGGGCTCACAAGCATATATACCTGTTATACATTTTATGTCACGTTATCTCTTTCCTTATTTTTAGAAAAAAACATTATAGAGAGCTGTTTAGACGCTGGAGATATCGGATACATAGGAAGGGTAAACGATTAATCATTACGCTCTCAGTTGTCTTTTTTGTTTTGAATTTTAAAATCTTATTTAATTCTTAAACCTTCATTCATTTTATTAGACAAGGTTTGATGCTGCTGGTTTAATATTTCGCTAATTAATTTATCAGTAACGCTTTAAAAAATGATAATAGCAATAATAATGAAAATGATAATGACAATGGTTGCAGCATTAAAAATGATAATCTGATAATGATAATACTAATAAAAAGAATTTTCCGCAGAACTTTGCACACGTTGTTCGCCCGGAGGCGATACCTGCCATACACCAGTGGCTAAAGTTTCAAGATGAGACAGGTGATGACTGATTTCCTTTATTTATTTATTTATTTTTTTGCCATTTGTTTGTTGGTTTTATTTTTCTCATCTTCTTTTACGGGTGGAATAGCGACGATTATAATACCCGTGCTGCAATACTTAGCCTTCCTTGGCAACTAACTCGAAGGATAACGGTCGCCTCGCGGTTTTTTTTTCTTCAAGAATTTGATTTATAAATCAATTAACAAATGAGGCCCCGTTAGCGTTTTAAATTGAAACGCCAAAGCTAGTGGACCCTTATTGATTTTGATTGGTTCAGCATTTGGGCGGCTCGTGTTCAGTTTCAGCTAAGCACGAATCGGAATAAAATCTACTGAGGCAAAAACACAGCAAGCTGAGACAATTTTTCAATTCAGTCTCAAACTTGGCTCGCTGAAAGTGTAAGGGCTCGTTACACCCACTTGTGACACCCTCACCCTGCTAAGAGCCTTGAATTCTGGCCTAGGGCGGCATCACTAGACCTTTTATACGAAAACCAAGAAAATGATCAGGAAGCTCTGAGGACGAAGAAAAAATTTCAAATCTGGAGATCCTTGCAATGGCCTTGCCTTTTTACCTTTCAGATCGCGATGTTGTATTCAGGTTTCTTAACAAGTTGAAAAGAAACTCATCGTGCCGTCAGGATTGGGAGATGGATCAAAAATCTTGCAAATTGCCGAACTGTATCGACAAGAACAGGACGGCAGAGTTATCCAGGTAGGTTTGGTTAGGAGACCTGAAAAGGAAAGCCCATCGGACACCCAGTTCTAGACAAAAGTTTAAGAAGCCGAGTCGTCTTCAGTTTGAGAATGTGCATGTCAGAGGGGAGGGTGACTACACAGGATGAAAAGGATGAAATCGAACACGAAACATACTTCCTAAGGAACCGGTCAAAGGTCATTATTTGTCACCTGGGGGAGGAGGGTTGGAAGATTTTGGCCGTGCCACTGATCCCCCATTAACTCTGTAACATTCTTATGACCCCCCCCCCCTCTCTCAATGGCAATGAACTGGCAATGAACTTTCTTTAATCCGACCCTTTACTCTATTGGTGACGACCGATTCTCCCTCTGTTCCCCCTGAAAACCAGATGGTCCCCCAAACATTCCTCCACCCCCCGTTTCCCCTCCCCCACCCCCGCAGCGACACAAACAGCTACGCACTCCATTCCTGATGAGATTGCTGGTCTATGGTTTATCAATTCTTCAGGCCTCCTGACTGCTGTATTACCATCCGCACGATTCTGTGCTGAACTTTTCTTAGGATTTTTGCTTTTATTTTTATCTCTCTCAGGGCTGGTCGAAATGCGATTAGCGATCACATTCGCCAAAAGCTGTCAAAAGACAAACAAGCAGTTAAATACCCAACCCTGACGAGGAGCAAGAAATCCAAAGGACGTTCCATGAATGCCACCGGAGACTTCATCACAAACAAGAGAGCAGTGTTCATGCAGCCCCATCGACGTCTCCCGAGCCATTTTGAGATCCATCCCGAGTTTGAAAGTGAAAGCCGATTTATCAATCATTTTGGCACTGAGAAAATCTCATGAAATATTCCCCTATTAGTTTCGAACGAACAACATTGCATTATACTCAGGTCGCCAGCATTAATGACTCTATTTATGCGCTTAATTAGATGTTAGACCTTTTGTTGTCGCTCTTTTGTTTCGTTTTATTTTGTTTTTGCAATATTCTTTGATTAAAAAAGTCAATCATGCAATCAGAGAAATATTAAGCCTGTTTTGCAGATTGTCTTAAATAGATAAGTAAACTGATGTTTAACGAGGAATATTTCCAAGTACTTTGTTATACTTTCCGTTCTTTAATTTACATTTTTTTACCGTGACATTTGCTCAGAATTGATAGTGAAGACTTTGCAATAAAGAAAATTTTTGTAAGAAAACGGAATTAAACTCCAAGAAGGTAACCCCACGGCGCGATACTCTTTTTAATATTCCCCAATGCACGAATGGAGGTGGGCGGGGAGCAAGGAAGGAATCCATCAAAACTTGGTGAAATTTGATTGTTTACAGTTGCGAAGGGGAGAGGGTATCTTAGTTTGGCTTGTAACCCGAACAGACTCAGTGCGTTGATCTGCTTCCATCAATGATGACTAGACCAAGAATGGGTCGAACTTAGGGTTAGCTGATCCTTCACATTAAGCTTGTGAGCAAGTCTTCCCTGGTTGTGAGGGATGATTTTGTAAAATTACTCATACACCTCCTCCACCGCGCGAGAAAGTTTGCTCCCCGGAGGCTAAATTTTCTTCAGGTTGGCGCTGCTGTCGTTCGAAATCTTCTGTTTCTCTCGCACACAACCTTTCGTTCTCTGAATAAGTTAATTTCAGTCACATTTTAATTATCTTTTATCGTTGTTTGTGCGGTTTATAACCTCGTTCCCATGGCCTTTTCCCTTACTAAGGGGTGGCGGCCCAAGTAAGGGAAAGGCCATGGGAACGAGGTTGTGCGGTTTACACACAGTGACCTTCCATGGCTCATATTATTCCCATCGCCGGTCGGCTTTACACTTACCGACTCCTACACGTACGTAGTTTAGCCTGTAGGTCTCTTTTTATTTATAAAAGAGAATTAAATAAATTAATTGAAATTAACAAACTCGAGTTTTTCTTAGTGCATAAAAGTTATAATTAAGAGTGAATAATCTAAATAGGAATTGATAGCATAAATTAATTTCTTACGACAAACGATCTTCGCTGACGAATTCATTGACCATGTTTGTCGGGGCTAGGTTATGAGCTTTGAGCTTTGAGCTTGGTTACAAGCTCATAACAAGGCTCCGTTCAGCTAATCAGAAGGCTAGAAATTCCATAACCGTGCTCCAGTTTTTATTAAATCCGGTTAACGTTTCGCCTGGGTTTTACTGAAATTTACAACAAAGCTTGGCTGAAAAAGATATGTAAACAGTTTTGAGCTGATTGCGTCCAGATAGACGTGTGGTTATCGCTCAAGCTACAGATGTGAGACGGTTACAACATGGGAGGATATTTCCTTATTAGAGTGTTGAAGTTACAAATAGAGTAACGCATCGTGACCTCTGACTTGAATTTAACCTGACTACTTTACGTTTCTTTTTTCTAAAATTGTCTTTATTGACTAGCTTTTAACTTTCATACAACAGAGAAATACTAACACTACGTAAAAACACTTACAGTAATTACGATACTAACAATGCACACGTTACTTACAATACTACCCCTATATCTATTTATACTTATCAATTCTCACGTTTAGGACTACTTACAAAAGGATTTTTCTCTTAAACTAGCTTACATCACAAATTATATGCTGCTTACCCTATTTGCATTACGAACTTTAAATCAATAATTAGCTTACTCTACATACTAAACAGTATTTACTCACATTAGGTGAGGCCTTTACATTTTATGAGAGGTAGATTACAGCACAACATAGACACAATGCAGATCCTTCAGCTTAAGTTCGTCAACAAAAAAAGAGAAAAAAAAAGTAGTACTGACTTTGAATGAGTCAACTACATATTCTCTCCGTGTGGTATAAAAAAAAAATAGATAAATATGAAAAAATATCACGATAATGGTTCCCATCCTTTCCTAAAGTCTTGAAGTTTCTTATTTCTTGTGGCAATGAGCCTTTCAGTCTCTTGCTTAGCTTCTACTTTAATTTGTGTAGAAACAGATTGAACTTTGGGACTGATTTGTTTCTTCTACAATCCCATATACATAGCTTACTTAGAATTATCAGATAGCTTAATATATCTTTTCTATTTAAATACCAACGATAACATCTTTGACAGATAAGCTTAGATTTTCACTCAGAATATTAGACCACCAATTTCACGCGCACATAGGAGCAGTCATAAAAGAGATGCTCATTGCTATAGGTATTCATTGTAAATTGCGCTAAAGGAACACTTCTCCTACACAATTAACCCGATTTTGAATAATTTGGTATTTGTTAACAGAATGTTATTTAATAATTTATTTTGAAAAGGCCAGATATAAGTTTCACTTGCAACTTTATAGGGGGTCGAAAACTCCAAATATCATGCAAATTAAAGGTCATTTAAATTTCTTCAATACGTTCAACGATTTTCTTTCTGGTCCTTATTATCCCACCTTGTTTATCTAACATCGGATTCATTGGACAGTTAAAGTCCCTTCCAATAATCCTCTGGTTTCATAAGCGAGGTCTTTTTTTTCAGGACGGCAAGGAGATGATCATAAAATTGTGCAGCTTGATTATCATTGTTTGGACCGTAAACGTTAAATAAATAATAATTTTCATCGTTAATTTGTGCTTGAACACCAATATATCTACCGGCAGGATCCACGAAATTTTGTTTTATTTTACAATCAAAGCCATTTCGTAATAAGATCGCAACACCTTTTGCATTATTGCTCCCATGAGCGAGCTCTAAAGGAACGCCACATTCAGTTTTCCATTTTTTCTCTTTATCGCGCGTGGAATGCATTTTTGAAGAAAAATTTTATTCGCATTTTGTTTTCTACACCATGCAAATATTGAACGTCGTTTCTTTAAGTTACTCAAGCCTCTTACATTCAAAGATAACATTTTGAAATCACAAGAGCCCATCGTAATTCGTCTTCAGTAATAATCTGAAGGGGGAACATTCTGTGGGAGGCTGCTAACAATTGATATAACAGATGTAAAGGTTAAGAAGGATCTGAAACGTGCAAAACACACAAATACACACATATAGAAACACAAACATAACGAAATTCTGGCTGGAAAAATTGAAAGAACATATTTACAGAGTTTTTATTGAGGGAGTCTCGTATCCTTTCCTCCAACAGCCATATCCGGTCCTTATCAGAATATCTAACTTTCCTTTTTTCCAAATAGGTACTCCCTGGCTAACTTATAGGATTTTTAAACAAACATTAAACACATTACAATTTGTAAATAATAAGAACACTTAAATATATTACTAACTATACTACGGTATACTTTACGTTGCTCTGGTAAACTTTGAAACGCCCTCGCCTGACAACACGCTTTCGAAACCATAAGCATGAGAGCGTTATTAGTCAAGCAATGCCGCACGTCTTGCCGAAATTTGGCGTAATTACAGAAATATTGTCTAAGTATTCGAAGTAATGTCAACACGCGTGCCACAACGATTGGAACTGATTTAAGCGGCTGAACACATAACCGCAATGGGTTCCTTACAGGCACTTATGTTTAAATAGGGCAAAATGGTTTTATTAAGAATGGCTAACGGTCGTGGATATACGAATTAATCCAATAATTCTTATAATAAAGGATAATTATCACGTGGTATTAAGATTAAAACAACCGAGTTCCGCTATTGTGAGGTGTTCCCAACGGAGAAGGAAAAAGTTAGGGTACAGTAAATTGCCAGTGAAAGTATACTGTTGATTAGAGTGAGAAATTAATCTTTTTTATTTAGGCATGCCTCTATTGAATTTGATATTTCAAAGAACATAAAACTTTCGTTAACTCGACAAAAAAAGCAAATGAGGCCAGGCTGTCAGCATTTTAAATGTAGCGTGACGTAAAGGAGAAGTCGAAAGATTTTTAATGAGTCCCTTGATAGGGCAAAGAAAATACGTAAGTCGGCTGTATACATATTTCAAATAAATTGGCGGCACACCTTAAATTAACAGACGCGCGATGGTCGACGTTATAGCATCGCAATTAACATCATTCTTTACTAGAGCAAGTGAGTCAGATCTCAGAGACGTTTTTCGTCTCAATTTCGAGGTACTTAACTGAAGAGCAAAAAGGTGAAATGACATGTTGTCCTCTCTTTAGAACAGCTGAAGGAAGGAAGTACACCTTCCACCTAGTTACATATTCAGTTCACGTTTTGATGGACTCCACTTGAAATGTACGTCTCACCGCTGGAATGTTGATCATATATCGGACGCTATAGTTAGGCACAGGACAAGAAGTTCAATCAACAAAAACTGTGCAGTCAATGCCGTTAACTCTGCGTGGGATATTCCCTTGCACATTGATTGTTTTGAACGTATCACGATCCATGTCATCTCTCGGTATCAAGAAAGTTTCGTATCGATCTCTAAGTTCAACTTAAGTCGCTAACTCTGTTCCCCTTTTAGTAGGCACTTGAGTTAAATTGTGCACGTCATTTTTTTTCTTTTAATTCTCGTGCAGTAAAAACTCTGATGTAAGGGAAAGCTCTTATTATTCTTATTTCAAGGCTTTTTGGAAGCACATGCTTTGAGGGGTTCTCACTGAGAGGGGCTCCCACAGATAGCAGACACAATGACACCTGAAGTTCCGAACACTGTTTTTTATTTGGTTTTAGAGTATACGCTCTGAGCCTCGAGGAGGTTTTTCTTTTCCCTTTTTCATTTTTAACAATAAATAAACAAATAACTCCCTAGGAACGAAAAGACATCCCTTGAGTGTCTTTCTTAAACATATTTTCGATAGTTTTGATTCGAAACCGTCAGATGAATTTACTTTTCCGCTTTCTTCATAGTTACAAACTTGCTGAGCCAGTGAATTCTTCCTCTTCCAATATATAGTATAGGCGAAAAAAATGTGTGTTTTCTAAAGAGCATAAAACACACGATTTACCAGCTTGAGAACATAAGAGTTTTTTTGAAGCCTGTAAAAAAGCTGACTCCTCCCCCATCCTTCTCCCGTAAAACAAAGCACACGAAAAAACAAACAAACAGATATTTTCTTAGTGAACAGTCGAACTCTTCTAACGCTGCGGGGCGTTAGATTATAAAATTTAATAGCTCCTAATTATAATTATAGCAAGTAGAATTTAATATAGAAAAATTCCCTGAAATGCGTATAAACCCCACGTCAACGAGAGTAAAAAGAGATGAAAATGGGGAAATTAGATTATTTGGATAATACCTATTGCACAGAAAAGTTGATAAACAGTACATGCCTTCAAAGGCACAATCAATTAAATTTGTATTAAGTTGTACTTTTTTTGTCGGAGTCGACAGAGGAAAAAATTGCGATGTCATCCGTTTTTGTCATGATATAAATAACGTGCAAGTACTACTAGATTATCGCGAAAATTCGTGGAATTGAAATTTCCCGAAGCACTACTTCTTCCTTTGCATATTACGAGCATCATTTCCAGATATGTTCAGCGATGACACGTTTATGTATACCAAGCTTTGCTGATTGAAGTGAAATTTTCATTTGCAAAGCTGATGCTCTTAGAAAATGAATGATCTAAAGATAGTAATCACCTATATAAACCGGAATAGAACTAACCAGGTGATTAATTTTGGGAAGCCCACTACAAAAGGCTCTAAATGAAAAGATATATGTAAAAGAGAAAAAAATTAGAATTTAAGATAAAGAGACGAAGCTTACTGGGATGAATAGTTTCCACATTGTTGCTAATCTTCAGTCCAGCTTACTCTCTTCTCCGTCTCCTTCGTTGCTTCCAGTGGTCTTCGCATTTTCGTATTGAAAGTTTAGCTGGCTTTTATCGGCAAGTGTTTAGTCATATAATTAAACGCATTATTTTCAGTCTTCGATCTTATCTAATACTTCCTACTCTATGATGGTATTGACATAGGATGTCAAAACAATAGGATGCAGTGTGATGTCAACGATTTTTTCCCGTTTTTGTTGAATCAGACTTTCTTTCACCTGGCTTTCGCTGTTTGCAACCAATCTTGCGCATTTTTGTAAACAGCGTCGAGCATTGTGACCAGCTGCAGTAAGAGGCCTGGCTAATAGGCTAGGAAGAAGATATGAAACGACTGCAAAATGAGAGAAAGTTGTCTTATTAGAATGTTGCATCATGACTTTCGATGAGACGTTAATCTACCATATTACACATCTTCAGTAAAACATTAGACACCCACGCTTGACAATGGGTTTTCAAAACCTTATAAATATAAGTATTTTTAGAAGTCAAGTTCAAGTATTTGGCGTAATGAATACATGCGTGCCACGATGGTTGGAACTGACGTAAGCAACTAAAGACGTAGCTGAAAAACCGGCGTTTACGATTAAATAGGGTTAAATAGCATGATAAGGGATGACTCTCGGTTGTGGATATAGGAATTAATTAAAGAAATTAATTCGGGTAAATATGGATATTTATCACTTGGTATGGAGATAAAAATCAGTGTTACGATATATACTATTGTCATGGTGCGAAGGGGAAAAAGTCACCCTATGGGACGGAAGTTATATGTCAGTAGGACTGAGAAACTTAACTTTTTATCATTGAGCTTTGCCTTTATGGAATGCAATATTTCAGATTACAGAAAATACTTACAGCCAGCTCGTAAAACACTACCAACATCCCAGGGTGTCAGGAATCTAATGCTTGCGTGACTTAAAAGAGTAACCAAAAGGTCTTTAATGAGTCCCTTGGTAGGAAGAAACCCACGTAAGTCGGCTAGGTATTTGAATTGACAACACACTCCAAATGATTTTGCGGCATACTTCAAATAAATCGGTTCGAGAGGGCACAAAAAAGGCAAGCAATTAAGGGCTATTAATGTCGAGGACCATACTCACAATATACTCTCACGCGAAGTTAAGTATTGCTTAAACTCACCAGCGACTCATCAAAGAGTAAGAGACACCGCTTCATTGCTTTGTTCGCCTAAATTAGGTATTTCTGCTTTTCAATACTTTCTGCCTGATTTGGTGACCGAGGTTTTCTTATGATTAGAAGACAATTTTGCAGGAATGTTTAGCCTTTTTTGAAGGAGCAAGTAGTAGCCATGATGGGATCGAGAGATTGCAGTGATGAAATAAATTAGTATCCATTTATAATTTCGTTTTAAAAACAAACAGCATTCTCGAATGGATTCTCTTTGTGATGGCTGTGACGTTTCTTTCTGATTTTTACACGAGTTTATCTGCTTCGTGGAGTTGGTAAATACCTCTCCTATTCCTACAGAGATAAAATCTGTGGATGAGCACCTGCGCCTTCGCAGGTTCTTTTTCCTTTTTGTTTTGTTTTTAACTATTAAGTCATTTATCTCTATTTGTAGTTTTCTTCGTTATTGCTACTGCTTATTATGCAAGCAAGCGCTACGACATAATGACAGAGTATCATCAGGATGTTCAGAGCATGTTAATTCACAATCATGACAATAGAAATGAACGGATGAAGAAACAGGACAATATCAGTGTTATAGTGTGAGGACGAGAGACGAATTTCTTCAACACGCGCTTTACATGATGGTCAAAGAAGTAACGACCGCAACTTACATTAGTCTTGAAAGCAAGTTGATCAGATCTCAGAAACACAGTTTTATGTATAATGATACATGCAATTGTCGGTACTCGCATGCATGATTATAATCGCGCACTTTATGATCACAGAACGGAAGCAGATGTTCTCTTAGAAAAGGAAAAAGATGGAAGGACGTTTTTTCTTTCTTTAGACCAGCTGAAAGAAGGAAGTAGAAATTCCACCTAGTTACATATTCAGTTCACGTTTTGGTAGACTCCAAAGTACGTCTAACCGCAGGAATGTCGATCATACAGCGGTGAAAGGTAACACCTGAGTTTTTTCCTTGCGCATTGATTGTTTTATCGTTTCACAATCCATGTCATTTCACAACTGTTCCTCTTTTAGTGGGCACTTAAGTTGAATTGTGCGTGGCACTCCTTGTCTTCGAATTCTTGTGCAGTACAACTCTGATGTCAAGTACTAACCTCGGGGAAACCCCTAATTACTCTTAATTGGAGGTTTTCAGTGGCTTATGCTTTAAGGGATTCTCAAACAGAGCGGATTCCTAATGACACTAGAGTTCTAAACATTGTTTTAATTTACATTTTGGAACATGTGCATTGAGTTTTCGAGAGGTTTTTATTTTCTCTGCTTTTGCTTTCCACAATAACTATTTTTAACCTAAAATAATCTACTAACTCATTAGAAAAGAAAAGACACCGCTGCGTGTCTTGCTTAATCATCGTTTCGGTAGTTTTGTTTCGAAACCGTCAACTATCTCTGTAATTACAAACTTGCTGAGCCAGTGAATTCTTCTTTCGCCTAAATATATCGTTTAAAAATGACGTATAGTTCATAAAAGGAAGAAAAAGCCATTGGCGCACCAATATCGGCCAAAATTCAGACTACAAATTTAGTCGTCGACCACGCCAAAATTCAGACTACAAACTTAGTCGTCGACCACGCTTTCACTGAATCGATCGCCGAGAACTTGAAGTCGTCAACTAGTAGTTACCCAGGCTTTGAACGATGTCTTCTAAAGCCCTTTTTGTGGTAAGTTTAGAATATATTTTGGACAAGTAATTTCCTTTGAACCAAGTAATATACATTGAAGTTAGATTTCATCTTTATATTTCCACTCTTTGTTCTTGTACAACAATCGCTCAAACTGACTGACAAATTTGTTAACTGAAAGCGTTAGATACGCTTATCTAAAACTCAGTAAGAAGAGATTGTTGCACCTCCTGTTATTCAATGATAGCTCTTAACCAGAGGTAGTAAAGTTTATCTAATTTTTGAAGTTTGAACTAAGATCCGTACAGTTGGGCAATTTTTATCAAACGCTGTTGTTGACTCATCGTTCCCTTTCTTATTGCATCATTCTTCGTGAGCAAGTAAACATGATTGAATCTTTCGATTGATGTGATGCCAAGTGTTTAGCAAGGTTTAAGGTTTAAATAAGTGTCTCATGTTTACACACAAAAGTATTCCCACCTCAGATATATGTTTATTCGGCTGAGAAAACGAACACAGACACAAGACAAACACAGATAAATGCAATTAAGAAGCTTTGAATAAACTGAGGAACACCTCTTGAGTTTTGCAGCCCAAACATGTTGCCGAAAAGTGATAAAATTCGAGGTTTCCTCTAAAATTTCACTCTCTATGAACTTTTGATTTGACTCTGCAGACAAATTTCAGTTCCAGCCACTTATCGAAACGTTTGTCACTATTCCCAATAGCAGGCCTTTCCAGGACTACTCTTGTTAGAGATCACACAATGCGCTTAAATGCAGATTTTCATTTACTCATTTACAGATTGTCTTGGGGATCCTTTTAGCCAGTACTTGTTTTGTAATGTCGTCTAAAAGAAAACAAAAGTTAAAAACCTGGAGAGGTCTTGCAAAGTGTCTCCAGATAGCCGGTGCAGGTACTGTTCGACGCACAAACGCTTCCTTCGCAAGTGACGTTCTGCGCTTCATTCACCGGAATGGTTACCTCATCGTGCCACCATCAAATCCTCCAACACCTCAACAAATAATTGTACCGCCTTTATCAAAGACTCCTGGAAAGAACAGGAGAGACCTCCGCTCCTCCGTTAAGCAGCGTAGTTCCGATAGATGTCCATTCAACATGACAGTTGTTGATTTTGTTAACACCGTTCCGAGGTTTCTGAGCAAAGCCACTTGTGATGGTTGTGATGCACGCTGTAAGCCCGTGATGTACACTCATCAGGTATTATTTAACAAATGCAGTGACTACTGGATGTGGACGGAAAAGACACTGGAAGTCGCCTTTGTCTTGTAGATGGAGGACTAACTGTTGGCTTTTTAACCAATTCTCAGTTTGTTATTTGATACATTATTCACGACATTTTGTTTTTATTTGGTAATAAACAAAAGTTTGTAATCAAAAGTCTGTGGCGTAGAAAAGATCTTTGTTTATCGTGATAACTGTATTCGCAGTTTAGTAAGCTATGTTTCAACTAGGTTCCATTTCAGAGAAGAAGAAAATCTGTTCGGTGACACCATGATCATGTAATTATCTCTGCCCTTCTTGATTTCTGTGCAGGAACCTTCTTGCCAGATTCTCCTCGTGTATTTTCTATAATTTCTAGTTCATTTATCGACCATATTTTGAGACGAATTTACAGTGAGAAAAGGTGTGCATCATTTTGAATTTAGCGCAATCAATCAATATCGAGGTGGCTGTACTTGTAGCAAAACTTTTACTTTTATCTACCTCTTTGAAGTTTTAATGAGGAAGCTTACTTCAAACTTTAATTTAAGGAGAAAGCAGTTTTAAGATACATTAAAACAGAACATTCTTCAAATGTTGTGTTCCTCTCGTTATCTAACAATCTCTAAACTCGACGTACTTTCTTTAGAATTCTCTCATTTATCTTGACTTAAAATCTGCCGACCTATTCTTTCTAACTTTCATATTTCCAAATTTGCTTTAGTTTAGTCCGATTTTTATTTGGAATAGCATAAGACAATTCTGAAAAGACTCATCTTAAAAATAGTAAAAATTGGGAAAGACAAAAAATTTAGGAGAAATGATAAGCATCGTTGATTTAATTCGCTTCGCACATATTACCTAATTTTCATATTTCCAATTTTGCTTTTATTAGTTTAGTCCGATTTCTATTGAGAATGGCGAAAGGAAATTCTGAAAATACTCATTTTGAAAACAGTAAAAATTGGGAAAGACAAAAAATTAGGAGAAAGGATAAGCTTCGTTGTATTTAATTCCCTTCTCACATATTACCTAATTAGGACGACAATGGAATACTTTGTATCTAATTACAATCATCTGGCTTCAGGCATTTTCTTCACCAGATATGTATATGAATTAAGTTAAACGAACTACCGCCTATGAATATCAAATTGATATAGCATATGTTTATATGCTTATACAACTTAAAAGCTCAAAATTATACAGCAATTGACTAGTGAGCTTGCAAAATTTTTTTTGAAATCGAATTACCACAGGCATTTCCAAAAGCAGCATTGCTTACAGATGAGAGATCATCGTGAGCAATAGTAATTTTCTAGGTTTGCTATTACACATTGACGTGACCAACATAACGTAGGAGAATCTAGCCTATTCTTCTCGCTAAACCTATACGGGACCATTATGAAACGCACGGCAACTGAAGGGAAAAGAAAAGGAATAGGATGGTATTCAAACCTTTGAATGGAGCAAAGGGCTGCCCAAAATACAAAAAAGTTTCCACTGAATTGAGTATAACTTCAGGGATTGTGAAAAATTTAAGGAAAGAGAGCTGATATCAGGGAAATATTAGTCCCCGATGCAACCCACTCTCTTGTTGGTATTATCACGGGATGGATCTAATTACTTTTTTTTTAGATTATAAGTAGGAAGTGATAAAGATAATCAAAACGGTGGCATGCAATAATATTGATGATATTTCACTATTTTTGTCGAGTCAGGCTTCTTAGGAAAATACGCATCGTCAATGGTTCTGCATTGCAAATCTTTGCTGTGTATGATTTCACTTGCGCTTTGTGCACCTACATTCAAAATGGCGGCTTTTTGTGACTACTGAGGTAAAATGTTGTTTCCTTTTGAAAGAGTCTGAAGAAAAAACATTTTTCTGCTTTTGAAGGAACGCAATCAATAGATATTTGATTTTAACTAACTTATATAAGGAAGAGAATTCACGTAACGCTTTAAATACCTATGTTTGCTCATATCAATATTGATTTTAATTGAAAAGATGAAGTACTTTGCTATCTCAATCCATCTGAGAGTTTTAAATCAGGAAAACCTGTCTTTTCAGTAAATTTCCATCTCTGGCTACATTTTAGCTTAAAATTTGACGTTCTCTTAAAGAAAATAAAAGTATTAATATGCAATGTTAAGGAAACTATTTTGAAAATTGTGCTAAGTAATGATTATATCATTGTTTATGAAGATACAGAATTTCGTGACTTTTTAAAATCTCTATGACAATATTATCATCAAACTGCAAGGCGATGTCGCTTATTACAAGGACTTCAAGTTTGGCAAAAACTTTTTAAAATAATTGCTGTAAAGCTGGCCCTCAGAGCCAAAGGCTACGCATCGAAATGTTTGAGTACAAATTTTCACATAAATAACTTGAAAAATGTATTGATTGAAAAACAAAACTGGGAGAGAATTTTATGAGACTGGAGAAAATGATATTTGAGTAAGAAAACAAATATTTTATAGAAAGTTTATGTTATCCTCTGCTGGTCATAAAGCTGATCAACCCAACACCCATAGAATAAATCACAAAAAAGGTTCATGTAAATCAAATTTTTTTCCTTTTTTTCGTAGTTGAAAACGACGCTTTTTCAACAAATTACCTGTGCAAACTTCAGAATCGATTGAAGATTAAAATAACTTAATATGAATACTGTTGATTTTACCTTTCCTTGTGAGTCTTATAGAAGGAAACAACTTGTACGTTTGCATGAAAACTGGTGTACTTTCTTACTTTTTTCATGTCGTGGACAAAATGAAATGATGCTTATTTAGCGTTTTAGGTGTATTTTCGGATATTGCTCGTTCTCCAAGGAAGTGCTTTTAATTATTAATGATCGGACATCGCGCCCAAATGGATTAAAACTTGCTTCTAAATTTAATTCTTCTACTTAAGAGAATAACGATGGTTTTCCCTTAATGGTCGACGTGATCTTTTCAATACTTAAGTTGAAATTTTAAAGATAATTTGGACCACAGCATCTTAATTGAGATTTCTTCTTTTTCTATGTTCCATTATTTTATTCACTCTCTTCGTTAATCATTTTCTTAATCATTACATCATGAGCTGGCTGAAATTTTTTTCTTACTCTGCTTGGGGTCGGCATAAAGCCGAAGCAAATATCTTGAAAAAGTACAGTATCAGTTTGAAAGTATAGATCATTTCTGACCTGTTCCAGCGGACAGAAAATAATGCAAGAAAAAAGAACCGAGATGTCCTGAGGAGAGACAGTGAGCCTCTTGCCTTGCGAAAGGGTCCGTTGCTCTCTGGATTTTTAATTGAATTTCTCAAAGAATCTTTTAGTTCTTTCCCCTGCTGTAACCAATTTAAACGTTGAATGTTCTCAACTTTCGCTGAATTAAATTCCCACTATAATTCTTTACCTTACCGTGAATTTTGCCTCAGTACTGTAGAGAAGTTAAGGAATATGCGTCAATTGATAAAGTTTGATGGTATTTAATCAGTAAAGAGATATCTTGCAATAGCACGTTTTGCTCTACTTTTAGATTTAAGACCTTTTTACTCCCCTGGCAGAAATCGAGTGATCCATCTCTAAATAACTGACCTAAAAAAACCCAACTATGCAATTGTCCATTGTGATCTAATGACTTGATCATGTGCATGTCTCTTGTCAATAACATACTCAGTAACAACGAGCGCAAGTAACCTCCAAATTCTCGATGTTTCTTGCATAAAATGCTAAAATCTTGGATTTATTAAAAAGGTCATCAAGGTGAATCTATTCATAGATGAGTATGATCGTCTGGATTCGCGACGTAAGTCCATTTTATTATAATACTTAAATTTATGTAAGGATTCCAACTCATTTGCCATATCACTATTGAAAGTACAGTTACTTTTAATAGGTGATTCGTTCCAATGATGAGGAAAACAATAGTTTCAATAAATTTAAAATGCAATCAAAGTCTACATCAGTAAGATTAAACTAGGAAGTCTGGGGAAAACATTACAAGGTATGACAGGAACAATTCGCAAGTAAGGTCAAAATACTTATCTGTTCTATGTCAATGGTCTGGAACAGACCTGCCTGTTATTAAAATTTGAAACTTGTTATTGGAATATTCTTAAACATTCTCTTTTTGTCCATTGTATTATGACGTGATATGCTTTTGGTCGACAAATACATTTAATAGTGATAACGCTACCGAGGAAATTATTCATTCATTTTCTTGTTGTCTGTCGTGTTTGATTTGTCTCGCAACAGCTAATAGCAAACACACAAGACAGATTCTTTTTTGAGCAAATGAAGTCATAAGTTGCAGTGGTCGGTCGTGGACAATGCAGCTTATTTTTGCATTCATGGTGCACTACAAGTGTGTTGCTGAGGACTGATTATCGAAAAGCCCACGAAAAATGGGTTACAAATCGTTACCGCAGAAAAACGTTGCAAATTGAAATGAAGGTTTAAATATTTATTTGCACTAAATAATGAGCCTGAACAGATTCTCACGTTAAGTTTAAAGCCTAAAGTTCATACATCTTACATTCTTAATTTTTTTCTGCCATATAGTAGCATAATATGCTTCTAGTCATCCAAAAACTTTCAGTCATATCCATAATAAGGAGAAAAATAATCACTTTCCAGGACTTTTTCTTGATCGATTTGCGTCGCAACAGCTGATAGTGAACCCGCAAGACAGATTCTGTTTTAAGCAACTGAAGTCGTACGCTACGGTCGTCGGCCGTGAACAATGAAGATTTCTTTTGCATTCATGGTGCACTACAAGTGTGTTGCAGACACGAACAGCCCTGATCTTCTTAGTACATGAGTTAGCAACTGATAAGGGTGTTTGTGACAGTATTTGTGCCTCTATTGCTCCACAAGTGACGCTTCCATTTACAACCGACATAGAAGGTACTGGACTTAACTGTGGTCTGGCGTCAACATAGTTAATGGTACCAAGTGAGAGAGCCAACATTATGGCGACTGTGAAATAATGAATCTAAAAAAGAACGCAGAAACACGGCGGGATTCAGATTTGATTCGTTTCATTAAGTTCTTTGTTGTATTGCATGATTCTGAAAGGATCTATTTCATCGGTGTT